TGGCTGTACGGCGATGGCGAGAGCGCAAAGACCGCCGAATTCCAACAGAAACTCAAGTCCCTGAAGGACATTGTCAGCCCTGCACTCAAGAGGAAGCAGGAAAGCGCTGACCGGCCGGTTAGAGTGGAGTTGATTCGGGGGGTGTTGAAGAACTCGCAGACTATCATCGACGTTATGAAGCAGCAGATCAAGCAGGATGAAGACGCCTACTCTTCGTCCGCATCTTCCAGCGCAACCGAGGCATCGTCGTCCACCACTTCCGCCAGCGAATCCGCTACGCCATCCACCGATCCCCTTGAGGACCTCGAGCAGGACTCTTACTCTTCCTCTTCTTCGTCTAAGACCACCTCAACAACCACAACCCCCAAGCCTACCGGCCCGAAGTACTCCATCTTCCAGCCTAACGACCTATCCTCCCTCTCCAAGGTCTACGAATCTACGAGCACCTGGTTCGAAACCAAGCTCGCAGAACAAGCCAAACTCACCGAATCCGATGACCCCGCTCTGACTGTCGTGGAGCTTGACACCCGACTGAAGGAGCTGGAGCGGATTCTGACGAGAGTTTACGCAAAGCTTGGAACTGCGTCTGGAAAGAACGGCCAGTCTACAGAGAAGGGTAATGCAAAGAAGGGCAAGAAGGAACAGAAGACAGAGGAGAAGGAACCTGTTCCAACACATGATGAGCTGTAATAGATTAATGTGATTTTTTCTTGTTTCTTTATCTTGTTTCCTTTCGTGTATGACTGGGAGTTTGGTTTGAGGAAAATTGTTTGTTGAACTTTGGTCATTATACTCCTAGTCTGGGTATGGACGGAGTAGAAGTTGCATGTTGCATGTTGCATGTAAACTAGATGAAAGAAAAATTATACTGAGTACAAACTGAACTGAATAAAGAATGGATGGATATCATATTCAATAAGATGTGTATCATATGGTGGGAAATATGAGACTAGAAGTGCTGGTGTGTGTGTGTGTGTGTGTGTGTGTGTGTGTGTGTGTACCCTTGAAATAAGTAAGACCCGTCGCTGAACAAAGAAACCCGATAGACTGCCTGAAACTTTTACACAGAAAGAAAGGTAAATGGCAATAGAAACAAACCCTTTTGTAGGGAAAAAAAAAAAAAAAGAGGGAAAGAAAAACATTACCACGTAAAAGCCTCCTCCGTAAGATCCACCACAGCACCCATCCCAATCCTCTCCCTCGTCGCAGCACGCACTTCATCCGCAAACGCACCAGGCCCACAAACCGACACCGCCGTAGCACCGACTCTCGCCGGCAACACCTCATCAAGAACAACATCTGGCCGACACCGTCCCGGGAACATCTGCACCGTCGCACTAGGAGAGACAATCTCCCGCGTACTTTTTGGTTTGGAGACAAAGAGCTTGATGACCAGGATGTCACGCCGGCAGGGTAGTCGCAGGATCTGATCCATGTAGCTCTGCACCCAGGTGAGATGGTCGGTGCTGCGGACGGACCAGATGAGGTAGATGCGATGCGTCGCGACGCGGCCCTCGGCAGCGCGGATGAGCAGGTCGCGGACGAAGAGGAGGTGGTGGGTTATGCCGGCTCCTGCGGAGAAGAGCACGGCGGTGCCGTAGCTGGCCATGTTGATGGGGTGGGCGGCGTAGGGGCCTTCGATGAAGCCGGATGTGTGAAGGGTGTTGTTTGGAGCGGAGGAGGCTGTGTTGTAGAGTTTGCGGGTCATGCCTTGGCGGGCGCTGATGATGAGGGAGACGGAGGTGGGTTTGTTGGTTGTGTCGAGGTATTCGTCGAGGTTGACGATGGCTTGTTTTTCGAGGAGGGAGGGGTCGATGTCTATTGTTGAGGTTGAGCCTGTGGAGTTGTTGTCGTTGGGTTGGTTGCTTCGGGCGAAGGCTTCGGTGGCTGTTGTGGGGGTTACGCAGGTGCTGGGGTCGACCCAGGCGACTGAGAAGGGGTGCGACATCCATTTTGAGACGCTGGGGATGTAGGCGTAGACGTGGGAGCCTGGGTTGATGTGCACGCGTTTGGGGAGGTGGAAGGTGACTCGACATGCTTCGCCTGGTAGGGCTTCGACGACGAGTTTTGTTGATCCTTTTTTGAGGGAGAAGTTGAGGTAGATGAGTCGGCCCATGCGACAGCACCGATCGAACAGCCAGATGACGATGATCGCGATGAGCCACGGCTTCTGTGGTAAGTTGTCAATATGCAAATGCGCGTATACACCCACAACAGCCAAAAAGGCAAACAGCTGGTGGAGATGCAGGAAGGTCTCGTAAAACGCATGACGAATCGGTGAGGGCGAGTGAAGAGCCAGACAGACAAAGGAACATATACCCAGGAGACCCCAGGAGAAGAACGGGACGGTGCGGATACGCCATAACATGTCTGAAAAGTCCTGTTCACGGCATGCGTTCACTGCCCATGCGGCCATGTGCACCAAACTCTCGAGCACAACGAGACGACCCAGCCACCGGTGGAGAAGATTGTAAGTGTCGAAGCTGAGTCGCAACAGGGGGATCAGTGGGTTGTTGCGACCTGCGAGAAGGAACAGGGGCACCATGTTCAAGACAGCCAGCGTCCCGGATCGTCCACGAAGCTCAGCAACCAAAGCCTCCTTGACGTTCGCCTTGTAGTCCAAAAGTATGCAGTAGGCGAACTGGCATGCAATGTAGAGGATGATCATGACCATTTGAAATCTGGATGGTAGCGTGCCGATGTTGACTGCAGTTGACAGTTGAATCTCCCGATTATGTCTTTTCCGACCCAGGGGCGCGTAGAGAACGTGTTTCTTTATGTTTGTCCATAGCGACGACTCTTCGATGCTCCAATATGTTTGCTGCTTTCTGCTTGATCCTAGCGAAGTAACATGGCGTAGGATGGAATGGCTGATTTGGGCGATTCGACCGCAGAACACGATAAAGGCCAGGGCTAGGATGGAGACGAGGATGATGCGCGTGAAAATGACATCCTTGGGCACGTCGACACCATTTAACCCCCGCGAATATTCGTAAACGTAGGTAGCGTTGGATCCATATGATCGCGGGGCGACCAGCCATCGCAAATTCCCCATTGGAAGCTGATAAATGAGGATAAAATGTAGCTAGCCCCCGGCCACTGGGATGACTCGAGGCGACGCGAGATATTTTGGAGACGACCAAACAAATCGCCCGAAGGTCGATCGTTCGAAGAACGTCCTTGATTAGAAGGAAGTAGAAGCCAGGTGACTTCACTTGGATGCGAATTATGCAGTTGTTTTTAATCGTGAAAATGTTCGATGTCGAGGGAACGAGAGGAATGCGGATGGCGGGCACGCGGAATCTCGAAGCCAGAATTCAGTCGAGAGTAATTCTGCAAAGAAAGAATGAAGACCTTGCACTGCAAAAAAAAAAGAAAAAAAGAAAAAACACGTTTGTCCTTCTTGCTCTGTGCTGGCTGGTTGATTGATAGGTCTTTTATTGTTGTCTGAAAGGCGCGAACAATGCCGTTTGCATCAAAGGAGGACGAAAGGCATGTACCGAAATAGGGAAGAGCCGGGGTAAAGAAAGTCACCAGCAGAAAGTGACGCAGGACGCTAGACGTTTCTGATTATCTACATGTTCGAAACCAGACGTTAGTTTCAGTCAGCGTGGTGAGCCAGCCTGTATCAGCACGCACCTTTATTCTCTGCATGCATTATCAAGCTAGTATCCAGCAAGGGCGATGCGGTCGAAGACGCTCAACGTCAGAAAGCAGGTTAAAACAGCAGAACGAGGGAATGGAACGAGGGGAATAAAAGTGGTGTCTGTCTGTCCAAGACCCCTCCAGTATAAAGATAGGAGGCGGAGGGACTAGCGTAGATTAATGAGGGACGAAGACAGAAAAAGAACGAACACCTTTCCCCAACGAGAGCAAAAGAGAGAGAGAAAAGAATGGCAGAGAAGAGTCTCCCGAGAGGAAGAGAGGAAGAGAGGAAGAGAAGAGAGTGAAAGTGACCGACGAGAAGAGATGAGGTTAGATCTACTCCGGAGTAGGGCCGCAGAACCAGTCTGGCCCAATCAGGTAATGCAGTGAATATCACGCCCGAAAAGGGGGAGTTAAAGCAACAATAATGGTGAATGAGAGAAAGAACCCATACGTCAGGCCGATGATCCACGAGGCAGCCACCAACTTAAAAGAGAGGAAAATGCATTTAATACTGAGAGAAAAATTCGAAATTAGACCTCCGACTAGTGACAGTATGGTGCCACCAGAAATAAATGGACCCAGAGGGCTGTTTAGTGGCAATTGCCCTCAATCAACAGGCGCATAAGAGGATCCTGGCTAGTGTTCGATTCAATAGTTGCAGCAGCCACACGGATAAGTTAACCAGGGTGGAATCAAAATAGCCTGTCGGGACGTTGCTTTTGCGGTCCGTCACACTCTTTTCCTAGACCAAAGGTGGCTAACAGTGCTAGGGATCGCTGTGATCAAATCATGGGGTCCTTGTAGATCGTGAAGCTGATGTGACAACGATGTAGGATATTGACGCCGAGCTTTCAGGGGGGGGCGATTCGCCCTGAACAAAAGCACTGGCCAGAAAAGCTGTCTGTCCCGCACTGTCCGGATGCTGACTTTGACTGATTATTGCCTGCATTTCCATTTGACAATGCTGGAATGGCCACCGCATGGTGCTGTCTCACCATGCGCCTTTCATGCTGAAACGCTCGCTGCATTTGTGATTTATTCTGTGGCTGCCATACGGACGACCCACCAGCACCGGGGCTGGAGCGAGAGTACAAGTACTCTGTACGGAGGAATATGATTATTTTTCGGTCGCTGAAAGAATCATGCTATTATTTTCAATCTTTTGTTATCAGTGAAGATAGAAAATAAATGGTACGTGATGGGTTGAAACAAAAAGGAACCTGTCACAGTCGGAGAGACCACGGGTCACGCTAGCCGACTTTGGAACTGGGCGGTATCAATATTCATCTATTCCACTGCGTCCATCTTGTCACCTAGATTGTTCGTGGTCCAGGAATGGTAACTGGTGAGGGGCCTGGTATCCAATGCGAAATTGAGGGTGATGGTTCCTCTCATGCCAATCTAATCGACGGAATGATAATAGGCAGCTGAGACACTCGGAATGAAAGCATTTCGGATTGATTGCTTGCGTCTGGACGAGGAATATGTGGCATGACTATATTGCAGACAGTCTAGATTGCTTGATTGATTCGACAGGAACTCCCATACGCTGCATCGAGACGGTTTAATCAATCAGATTCAAGAGAATAATAATCACAGTGGTCTATTTACATTGATTCATCGCAGTCCCCTATGGATCCATAAGGCTGCTTACCGACCCATCCAGCCTCCGTCGACAGTAATCACTTCACCTGAAACATAACCGCTGGCCCGACTTGCCAAAAACACAATCACGCCCTTAAAGTCTTCCGGCGCTCCCCATCGCCCAGCCGGAATCCGGGCCATGATGCCTACATTGCGGTTTGAGTCGTTGATAAGAGCGACGTTCATATCTGTGGCGATATACCCGGGAGCAATCGCGTTAACGTTGATACCCTTGGATGCCCATTCGTTCGACAGAGCCTTGGTCAATTGAGCAACACCTCCCTTGGAGGCGGCGTAGGCGGGGACGGTGAATCCTCCCTGGAAGGTGAGAAGAGATGCGACGTTGATTATAGAGCCGCGGTGGCCGTTAGAGAATTCGGAGGCATCGAGGGACAGTAGGTGGGCGCCGAATTCACGGCAGAGGGTAAAAACGGAGCTCAGGTTGACTTGAATGACCTGATCACCATTATATTAGCCATTGCCGCGGAATAATGCTGTCGAACGGGGACACTCACCTCATCCCAATCCTCATCCGGGAACTTCTCACTAGGATGTCTCCTCTGGATCCCAGCGCAGTTCAGAAGGATCTGAGGCTTGATACCTTGGCTTGTTAATGCCGGAATGATATTCTTGACTGCCTCCCGGTTGGATAGTTCTGCAACGTGAATCGAAGCGTTCCGGCCGATGCGGTTGATGATTTCATCGCGCGTTGCTGTGTTGGACTCGTCTCTCTATTCCCAGTCAGTCAGTTTTGAAACGGTTTAAACTATTAATCACAGGTAGTACTAAAGGCATGCATGCATACCTGGATCAGCACAATATCGGCACCAGCCTCTGCAAGAGCAATGGTCATAGCCTGTCCAATGCCTCTTGTGCCACCAGTGACGACGGCCGTCTGGCCGGTCAGGGAGAAAAGGGAAGCAACGCTGTCTGTCATTGTGATTCTGTGGCAGGTTTCGCAACTAGATCTGTATCTATCGACTGCGTGATATGCGAATAGCTCAATCACGTCCAGGGGAATTGGTAGAAGGATTGTGTCTAATATTATAAATCCGTCCTCGCGTTCCAATGCGCGATGATCGAGCTGCTGCTTACATTATTACTGTTATGTATCTCTTTCCAGTCTTTCCCCGGCTTTCCTTGCGATGGCTTCACTGCCCCTCGTGCGGGGCTTCCCAACCAGGTGAAATCCGTTGCCGACCCGTTACCGACCACTCCACAGTCGGTTATTGCCTGTCATCGGCGAACGGCCGAGCATCGTCGCCATGATACTGTCGTTACATGGATCTAGATGTGTAATTTACGGCATCTCGATCTCGACGGGATAAAGTCTTCTATATGATGAATTTGTTGCAATTGATGCCACATTGCGTGTCACACAAGAATTCGTTAGATGACAGGTTGTAGAAGGCCAACTGTGGAGTACAAACTGACAGCCGGTCGAGATTCAAACAATAGACACAAATTACGTCGCCATGTAACCAGAACACGACCATAGTTCTCTTCAAAATACGGGGAAGTGGGGTAAAGTGGCACATGTTCTTCCTGTTCAACCTCGTGGGTGCATCGTGTGTATGTATGGCCATATGGTACGGCCATATGAGAAGCTTGTCTGACATTCTGCAAACCGCAGGATCAACCAGGGTCTCTGTCACTCTGAGATAGAGATACAGGTTGCTAGACGGGCCCTGCAGTAGGGATGCACAGATGGCTTATATAGCACTGCAGAGAGGGTCCAGGATGTGCTCTGATCTGATTTTCTTCATGGATAGCAAAGTTGGGCCCTGTCGATGAATTGCCGAATTGCCTGGTCATACATCCAGGACTAGACACTGGACGGGATACGATGATATATAAACCAATCGAAGGTTCTCTATTTCAGTTAGGTTTGAGAGTATGATTATGAATAGGGGTTTCAACGTTGTATGCTGTATATCAGTTACAATGTCGTATTGTATTTTACGTCCCTTCTGAACTATGAACAGAGAAGCCAGTAATCTGCCTCTACTTCTATCTTGCTCTGGATAACTAGTTAAATAACTATTCTAGCCATGGCTGAGTCATCGGCGCATTTTATTACCCCAAACCAGCTCTAGTTGGGGAAAGAAGCCTTCAACCACAGAGTAGGAAAGGGGATCCTTCTAAGGGAATTTTCTAGTTGAAAGCTCGTCTGGCTGCCCGTTCTGGTGTGGGGTGTGGAGAAGAACCGCTCCAGGAAAAGCACTCGTATTATTTCCCCAGTTAACGTTGACTACAAGTACATATTAACTACTAGTACTGCTTTTACGGGCACGGACTTGCTGCGACAAAACCATGCATTTTCTCTGCTTGCGCTATTGATCTGGACGGTTCTTTTTCTATTGTTGATTTACCTGTTTTCTCGTGTTGTGCCCTTTTGAGAGCATATCTCCTAACATTAACCGGCTCTGGAAAATGCCGCTTGAGCATCGTGGTTGTCAGAGAAATTTATGACTTACCTGAAGTCCAGCGATCAAGATGGAGCAAGAAGAACAATCGCCTCAGTTCGAACATCCTCCGATGTCGAGGGCCAGGTCCCGTTCGGACGCCATGAAGCGCGTGTCGAGAGCGTGTCTGCACTGTCGGCAGCGCAAATCAAAGTGCGATTTGTAAGTTTATTTTCCTTTCTTTCGCTCCATCGGACAAAGATAGTATGTTAATTCTCAAACAGAGATGGCAGCGGCAGCCCAGGTGTCCCTCCATGTCAACGATGTATCCGCGATGGTCGTGATTGTGTCTTGGGCAGTTCAAATCGAGGCGGTCGCCGAATTCGCAAAAACAAACTAAAGAATGTCACTCCCGGGGTCACGACGCAGGAAAAATCTGATCTGGATACGGTCAGTTCGCCCAGCTCGGAAAACCGTCAGGCTGCGTCCTACCCCGGCCCCGTGGTCTTCATACCGCCCAATCCCCCAACGACAACAGCGTCGGTTTCCGTGGACGATGATGATACGGCGTCTATTGGCTCAGTTCCGCGAAATCCATCGGATGCATGGCAATGCTTGACGGGTATTGCGAAACGGGGTACAGATGGCAACACCGCGGAGACGATTGCAGATTCTTTGTCTGGTTCTGGGGGTTTTTCGTCTTACGGCGCGCTACAGGGTGGTTCGAGGACTGAATTTTCGACCAACAGTGGTATCAGAACATACAGACTCGTCCAGACGCGCTCTCTGGATCCAACAACGGTGTGGCAGCTCGTGGTGCGCTACGCCGAGAATTTCCACCCATACTTACCGCTGGTACCACGCAAGTACTTTGATCGCAATGCCCTGGAGGCCTTTGCGACCCATGAAAAGTATCTCCTCACCGCCGTTCTTACCATCGCTTCCAAGGACCTGGTGGAACGACCGGAAATCCATGAATATTGTTCCAGGTACATGCACGAGTTGATCTCTGGTATCGCTGCTGGAGCTGACTGCGACGTCGAAGCCGTGGAGGCCCTGTTAATTCTCGCGGAATGGGAACCCCAAGGTCTACGCCCGCGCATTGAACGTGTTGGCCGAGGAGAAGAGGACCGCGCTGCATGGATGCACATTGGGCTCGCGTTACGATCAGGTTACTTCCTCGGTCTGGATCGAACATCCTTCCGAGGCGATGCATCGGGAGATACGGAAACCGAGGCTCGCAGGCGATTGGCCTGGACTAGCTGCTACATCTCCGATCGTCTGATTTCTGTTCGCATTGGGCGCGCTTTCTGGTCGCGAGGACCTGGTCCGATGACAGGACTGGTCAGTCAGGATTTTCCTTCCTTGCAACCAGTTAAAGACGGGGAAGAGGACCATGCGAAGATTTTCCAGGCGACGTTGGACCTCACGCAGCTATATGGAAATGTCCACGACGTGCTTTACTCGGGCATGCGCACCAGCAATCAGATGATGCTTATGGGCGATTATGTCAAATATGTGGACGACTTTCGTCTTGCCATCCTGCGCTGGAAATCCCTTTGGGGGTCATTGCATTGTACGTCGTCGGGTCCTTGTTGCATTCCCGTGTCATGCTAATTGTCTGCAGGTTCTCCTCCCATCCGAGCTACATTGCAACTATCATACGAATATTTGAGGCTATACACCAACGCATTCGCTTTCCAGGCAACAATATCGCAGTCACTGGCATCAAAGGTTAATGGCGATGCGCATGCTCAGAAGGAGCATTTGCGAAGGGCATTCAACAATGTGGCGTCACTGCAGGATGCACGATTTATCTACGAATCGTTGGATGCTGCCAAAGCTTACCTGTCTATTCTGGTTGACTTGGTTGACCCAGAAAAGCACTTGCACTTTATGCCGCTTCGATTCTACTTGTACGGTATCTACGCGGCAGTATTCTTATACAAGGTAAGTCACTCACAACCACTCGCATTACATTCTGAGCCTAACACTATCAGGCTCGTTCATTCGGCGTCATGTTACATTCCGAAGAAATGGCAGTGCGCGACCTCGTCACTCGAACCACCGAGGTCCTGAAACGGGCAAGCGCCGGACCTGATGACATCGGCTCCCGGTACTCACGCCTTCTAGAACTTCTCTGGCAAACTAAACCTGCACCGATCGCTTCTCCTGCAGGCACACAGCAGAGCAATGACCTTATGCAGACTACGCTTTCAAATTGCCTTTCCGACCAGAATAAACACGTGGACTTCAGCCCGGCGAATGATTTCTCCTGGTTGGATCTCGAAGCTGTCGGTGACTTTGTCTCCGGGGACCAGATCTCTGGAGCAGGAATGGGGTTTGACGCGTTGCAAACCCCTGATCTGTACCAGACTGGACAGGATCGTTTGCAGAGCTGGCAGGTGTCAACGTGGCCAGGTGATATGAGCAGTCTTCTTTTTTAGACACCTTCCTGTACCAGTCAAGGTCTTCGAATTGTCTTACGGGCAAAATTGCCCACGACGTTGGGGTATGCGACAGGCATCACTATCAGCGCGTGTCTCGTGCTCGTTATCCCCGATATTGGTGCGGGGATAGCGGGGGGGCTATGTTCGGGGTTTCCTCCGAGATGTATGTCTACGCAGTAGCCGAGGGGACAAAGCTACTCCGGAGTACAATTGTACAACAACTCCCCGTCTACGAATAGCTCAGCTGGCAGATTTTGACTGAGCATTATACACAATGGCACTGAATGAAATCAAGGGCCGACTGGCACTGGTTACAGGTGCATCTGGAGGGTGAGCCACTTTCCCACGTTTATTCTAGAGCTCAAATCTGACTATCACAGAATCGGAGCAGCATGCGCACACCAACTTGCCCAGAAGGGCGTTCATCTAGCCCTCACCTACTCCAGTAACAAGACAGCAATGGACAGTCTGGTCGAAGAGCTCAAAACCAAATACCCCACGGTCGACGATAAACCCCTTCGCATATCAGCCCATCAGGTGGACGTTGCCTCCGCAGAAAAAATACAGACAATGTTCGAGCAGATCGATCAGCAACATGGCCAGCGACCGGATATCCTCGTTTCCAACGCCGGATACGGCAAGCGCGTGCCGCAGGTTTGGGACATTACACTCGAAGAATTCGATCATACGATCAACGTCAACCTCCGCGCCTCGTTTATCCTTGTGAAGGGTGTTGTCGAGCACATGAGGGACCAACGATGGGGTCGGATTGTGTTCATGTCTTCGATAGCTGGGTATGGTGGAGGGATTAATGGATGCCGTATGCCACTCCTTTGAAGATATACCGTCCTAGAACTGACAATCATAGATTACGCCTCTTCCAAAGCTGGCATGACCGGTATGATGAAGAACCTGTCGACTCGTCTGGCAGAACACAACATCAGCGTCAACGACGTTGCACCAGCAATCATCGGGGATACAGGAATGATCCCCAACGCTCAGTCGGTCCCTGAGATCGCAGCGAGTATACCACTTGGTCGGGTGGGGACGCCTGAGGAGGTTGCTAATGTGGTGACTATGCTTGTTACGACTGGTTATATGACTGGGCAGAGTCTCCTGCTGGCAGGAGGGTTGAAGTAGTATACGAGGTATATAGATGGCGTTTTCCCCAATGATATTATATAGTTATAACTGTCTGGTTCTCTTGGACATATATTCATCTACCTATACGCTCCAGATACACATCATATAATCAACAGAATACAATTTCAAAGTCATGCTTCCAAAAACCCAACCCCTTTTAATGCAATAAAACCGGGTATACAAAACAAGACAATCTAGCTCTCAATAACAACCTTAACAACAGGCGTCCCATTTTCATCAACACCCTTCCCAGCCAACCCAAACGCCCTCTCCCCCTCCTCCAGCTTCACTCGATGCGTAACAACACGCTCCTCAACACGCGCAAACTTACCACTCTCCAACAACCCAATAGCAGCCGGGTACGCATACCCATCATACCGGAACACACCAATAACATCAACCTCACGCAGCGCAGCTGCACCAACAGGAAGCGTCTGCACGGGGTTACCCATCCCAATCTGCACCAACACACCACCAGCACCGGCAGCATAGATACCACTCTGCACACATGTAGGCACACCAGTGCAATCATACACGCGCGAGAAGCCAGTCTTCACACCATTCGCCTCCTTCAGGCCAGCAGCATTGCGCTGCGCACTCTGCAACGCGTACGCAACCTGCTCAGCCTGCGGCGCATCACGAGCCGGAGGCGGGTTACTCGGATCAGACTTGGGGATGAGATAAGTCTTCAGCCCCAGGCCCAACGACTTGGCAATCTCCAACCGCGCCTCGTCGATATCCGCAACGACAATCGACGAGAAGTTCTCGGCCGTAGCCAGCGCACCCGCCAAAAGCAACCCAATCGCACCCGCGCCAAACACCAGCGCCGGCAATCCCTCCCCGACTTCCCCGGCCAGTGCCACCTCTTCTTTAGTCGGCGGATGCGAACGCCTAATCGCATGCAAACAAACCGCCAACGGCTCCACAAGCGCACCCCCCGCATACGATACATTCTCAGGTAACTTATGACACATCTCCGCTGGATGATTCGTAAGTTCCATCAACGTCCCGTCAAAATGCGGAAACACCTTCGCGCTACTCCTGAACTTCATCTCAGTGCAGATATTGTACCTTCCCGTTTTGCAGAGGAAGCATTTGCGGCAGGGAATGCCGACTTCTAACGCGACGCGGTCGCCGACTTGCAGGTTGTTTACATTGGGGCCCAGGGCTGTGACTGTGCCGGAGGACTCGTGGCCGAGGCACATGGGTTCGCGGACGACGAAGTCGCCATTGCGGCCGTGGGAGTAGTAGTGCAGGTCTGAGCCGCAGAGGCCGGTTGCGCGAATGGCGATTTGGACTTCGGTGCCGGATGGGGGGGTTATGGTTCTTGATTCCTGTTTTCGTTAGTTTTGTGTTGTTGTGGTGAGGTTGAGAGGGAGATGTACTATGCGGAGGTCTTTGGCGCCGTGGAGGACGAGCGCTTTGGTAGATTGTGCAGCTGCCATTTTGAATAATACAGAGTAGTAGAAGATATGAAAAAAAAAGTAAAGTACAGGAAAAGCTAGATTTATATCGAATATGCGAACTGAAGAGGTTAAATCTACGGAATACACTGGACAATACTCCGGATCCCTCGCTCAATATCCGAAAGCCGTGGGGAAAGAATTCCCCCGCTGAGATTACAGATTACAAGGATGGAAATTGAGCGATTTCTATCGTCATGAACCAAAAAGGGCCTGTCCTGCAGAGTAATACATCGCGTACTTGTAAAGGGCAGACCGAAGTATTTTACCCCACGTTGTCGGCCATTGATAAGGCGTCGGGAATTGAACCGCGAGGCGGGATGTCAATAGCCGATGGTATGACATAGTGTACGGAGGAGCACATAGTTACGGGACGGAGGAGCACCGCACTGTTCGGGGAAGGCATACGGTATACGGAGGATTAAATGGATAGGGGACAGAGTAATTGTAAATAAAGGGTCATTGTTGGAATAATCTGTTATACTAGCTAGAATAGGCAGACATAACCATTGCTGTATTAGTATCCAGGTGAACGGAACCTGTAGATACGGAAATCGAAGTATCAAGTTTGGGCTATCGATGCCGTAAAATCTCCCGTCCAGGAGATACTCCGAGTTGCTTCATCTTCTTATTTCTTTCGATTCATCAGTTACATTGTTATATCTTGAGTATACTTGTACATTGTTCTTGGTCTATACAACATCAGTCTCTGACATCATACCATGGCTCCTGCTGCTTTGTTAATCGGTGCTATCACGCACGCCCGCAAGGAATGGGAAGATCTGTCGTCGTTTTTGACGCTCAAGGTATGCCTCATAAGATGCAATATATGAACAGTCTGACTGACCGAATAGGAATTCCCCTCTGGCACCCGGGAGGACTTTATCCAAAACTGCAAGAATGGCGAGTATAACGATGTAGTCGCCATCTATCGATCCAATGCCTCGACCAAGGTGAGTCAATCATGAGCAAGCGTAAAGATAAAGAGACTAACGGAATAGTTTACGGGCCCTTTCAACGCAGAGATGCTGTCCGTGCTGCCATCGTCATTAAAGTACATCTGCCATAACGGGGCAGGTTATGACAATGTTGATGTTGATGCGTGTACGCAGAAAGGTATGTACTACTACCCTTTACAAAGTTACGAAATCTAACGCACGCACAGAAATCGCCGTGTCCAGTACCCCCGTAGCCGTCAACAATGCCACAGCTGACGTCGGCATTTTCTTGATGATCGGGGCTCTGCGACAGGCATACGTGCCGTTGACTTCCATCCGAGAAGGCCAATGGCTCGGAAAGTCTACGCTTGGCCGTGACCCCCAGGGCAAAGTCCTTGGAATCCTCGGTATGGGCGGTATTGGAAGGGTAAGCTGCGCTTTACGTTCCTTCTCGGCCAGTGACTGACCCCGCTAGGAAATGGCAAACCGCGCCAAAGCCTTTGGTATGAAGATCCAGTATCACAACCGTTCGCGGTTGTCGCCTGAGATTGAGGGCGATTCGACCTATGTGTCGTTTGATGAATTGCTGGCTACTTCCGATGTGCTGAGTTTGAACTTGGCTCTGAACGAGTCGACCCGGCATATCATCGGCGAGAAGGAGTTTGGTAAGATGAAGGACGGGATTGTTATCGTTAACACGGCTCGTGGAGCTTTGATCGACGAGAAGGCTTTGGTTGCTGCAGTGGATTCTGGGAAGGTAAGTCTTCGTCCACCCATTTAATCGTTAACATTGCATTGACTCGATCGAAGGTTTTGTCGGCGGGTCTGGATGTGTATGAGAATGAGCCCGTGGTGGAATCCGGGCTTATCGATAACCCCCGTGTAATGCTGCTTCCACACATTGGTACCATGACCTATGAGACGCAGAAGGACATGGAACTGCTGGTATTGAACAATCTGCGTTCGGCGGTTGAGAAGGGAAAGATGATCACGTTGGTTCCGGAGCAAAAGAGTGCCTTCCAGGGTATGAATGGGACGTCATGAACATACCCGCAGTAAATAGACCTAGAACAGGAATGCCGATTGTTTTGTCCATAAAGAACAAACCATGCGCATAGTAGAGAACTGCAGTTCATGACCGTTGATAACAGATACTGCCGGGCGGTGAGCCACACTCGGCCTAGCGTTAGGGCTCGCTTAGGGCGGGCGGCGCCAAGCGCACCACACGCAGAGTCTCGCGATCCCCGTTCCAGAGGCCTTGTCGAAAACGAAGAAAAAGCGACAACTTCTCACGACATCGAGGACCATCCCTTTACCCCTCGGCAACCGCTTCAAGATGGTGAGTCTTGCTGTCGTCGATTTCGCTATCCAGAATGCGATTTTTGCATGTCCCCAAGCCTTAGCCCAACCCCAACTCCAAAGACTTGTCGATTTCGAGAAAATCCCCATTTCCGCGCATCGAAAAAAAAAAAAAAAAAAAAAAAATCATACCCCTCACAAGAAATGAATTCGAACATTGCCGTCATGTCAATTTCGTCCAGTCGAGTCTGTGCATGTTGCTGATGTTGGGGTTTTCTTTGTCTTTCAGGTCCGTTACGCCGCTCAGGAGATTCCGGCCGCGAAGAGCGCCCGCGCCCGGGGCTCTTACCTCCGTGTCAGCTTCAAGAACACCCGTGAGACCGCCCAGGCCGTCAAGGGCATGAAGCTTGAGCGCGCCCTCAAGTTCCTCGACAACGTCCAGAACAAGGCCGAGGTCGTCCCCATGCGCAGATACGCTGGCGGCACTGGTCGTGCTGCTCAGGGTGAGTGATGCGATTGTTTTTTTGTTGGTTTCAGGAAAGGATACGATGAATTGGAAGTACGGCATGGCTGGAAAGAGTTGGAAAAAGAAGTTGAAGGGAAGATCGAGATTGAATATGGATAAAACGACGAGCCGTGCGATTGGATATGAATGCTTGGGAAATTGTTGGACATGCGGTTACAGGACAGCACGCTGATGAAGTTGTCTATAGGCAAGCAGTGGGGTGTCAGCCGCGCCCGCTGGCCCGTCAAGTCCGCTCAGTTCCTCTCCGACCTCATCAAGAACGCCGAGGCCAACGCTGACACCAAGGGTCTCGACACCGGTGCCCTTGTCGTCAAGCACATCCAGGTCAACCAGGCCCCCAAGGGACGGAGACGCACCTACCGTGCCCACGGTCGTGTATGTATCAACATTTTCTGGTTTTTGCGGGGGAAAAGCTGACATGGCATTTAGATCAACCCCTACATGACCAACCCTTGCCACATCGAGCTCATCCTTACCGAGGGTGAGGAAGTCGTCCAGAAGGCCCCCGCTGCCAAGGAGACTCACCTCTCTTCCCGCCAGCGTGGTACTCAGATCCGCCGTGCTCTCATCGAGGCATAAGCGGTCTGTGAGGTGTCGGGGGTAATAGGTAGTTGGGAAAGAAATGCATAGGGAAAATTAAAAAGCCCGGAGTTTTCTTTTATGTTGTTGTACGGAACAAATACCTGGTCACGGAAGGCTACAAGAAAAATGCAATGAAATGGAAAAAATTCGAAACAACGGGCAGATGATACAGATGGGCTTTTTTGAGGTCCTTCCCAGCATTGATCTTTCCCGAGGATATTTTCCCTTTTTCTACTATGAATCTTTCCACGTCGAGGGATTGGCCCCGGACAGTTACTGGCCTTTCTTTTCCGGGTACCACTGTTTCCAACGCATGCTTCGGGATAATACGAGCGTTATTTCATGAATGGGATACGGTTTCTTTTTGTTCAGCATATTCCTTATATGGAAGATCTATGCGTAGACTAGTCGATCTCTGACCCCATCCAGAATGACGTCTGTAGAATATATCCATTAGGCTTATCAGAAAGGCCAAGAGTGGCTGTGCATCAAGTGTAAGCCATGTACATATCTCGGTCGAACATAAGGCAGTTTTCCTACTATCACCGGACAACCACCACCACAGCGGCACAGGCATCTCCATTTGGGGGCCACGAAGGAACACCATAATGACTGGTGTGTTTAGAACTGCTTGCGTGTCGTGGTTGTCGTGGTCTTCGCCACTGGCAGGTGTCCATTTTCTGCCTAGCATAGAGTTAAAGTACTAAAACTAAACTAAACGCCCGCCGCATTTCCCTTTGTCTCAGCTTTACTTTTGGAGAAAAACAAAACACTTCTCCTTTTTCCTTCCCAGGGTCGAGCTGCAGGTTTGCTTGTCGTCAGCAACGATGAAGCGCGTTTTTACTTCTCTAACCCGGCGTACTAGTAAGTTGCATTCTATATCCCCTCAGTCTAAAATCTCCGGTTACTCAATGCAAGGGTTCCCCAGGTTCCGCCTCGAGGAGCTCCTCCACGACGTATGCCGACGATTCACCCGAAGCTGTCATCCTCCGGGAAGTGGTATGACAAACTACAATAAGCATTATGGGATGCTATAGGGCATTGACTGATCGTATGCGATATTGTCATCCAGGCTGCATTCTGCGACTCCGGAAATAGCGGCGCTGTACGTTCAATCCCCGCCATCTTCTATCATTCCATCTACCACTGCTCATTGACTAACCCCTATTCCAATTCAACAGCAAGGTACAGACTATGTCCATCTCCCCGCCATCGTCGAAAGCGCCGAATCAAGTCCCAATGCCGCCAAAGAGGCCGCCCATCGCATTCGCAAGACCCTCTCCGACCCTGCCAAGACCCCCGGACACATGCAATACAATGCCATCATGTTGGTTCGGATCCTCATCGACAACCCGGGCCATACATTCGCGCGCAATCTGGATGCCAAGTTTACGTCGACGATGAAGGATCTCCTCCGGCAGGGGAGGGACATGAATGTACAGCAGTTCCTGCGCGAGACGCTGGAGTTCATGGAGACGCAGCGGTCGTGGGATGAGGATTTGGCAACGCTCGTGGCCATGTGGAAGAAGGAGAAGGAGCGGTACAACAAAGCGCGGACCTTTTTGGTTAGTGGCTCGATTATCTTTGGATATAGCCATGTTGTTAATTGTGATAGGGTACCGGACCTTCATCGCGAGGACAGTCGCAGTCGCAGTCGCAGTCGCAGCAGCGGGGCCAGAATTACTTTGGCGCATCTCGTCCCGCTCATGGGACGATTCTACCTCCGCCGGATGAGCTAGCTGCGCGTGTTGAAGAAGCCAGGAACTCGTCCAAACTGCTCCTCCAATTCGTCCAGTCGACGCCGCCGGCTGAGATTCTCGAGAATGAAATTATCGCGGAATTCTCTCATCGATGCCAATCTGCGTCCCGTGCCATCCAGGCATACATCAATTCAACCAACCCAGCGCCGGACGAGGACACGCTGTTGACGCTGATTGAGACGAATGATGAGATTTCCGTGGCATTGTCCAAGCACCAGCGTGCGGTTCTCAATGCCCGCAAAGCCTTGGGTAGTACGAGTAGCCAGTCGCCTGTCGAGTCTGGCGAAGTTGCGGCATCGGGTGCCAACACACGGCCAGTCCCGGCTCCTCCTCTTCCGCAAAGGAATGTGTCCGTTGCTCCGGAGTTATCTTCACCTGTGCCTGCGCCCGTTCCAGCTCCTGCATTTGCACCTGTCCCTGCCCCTGTCCCTACGCCCGCGCCAGCCCCTACTGCAAACACGAGTACTGGCGCCGGTCGGTTTGAGTATCGATCGGAAGACTTCCAGGTTCAAAACCCATTTGCAGACAACCATGGAATTTACGACACACCTTCGCACTATGAAGGAAATCAGCAGACCAATACGTACGGGGCAAACGGACCGAATGGGCAGTGGCATCAAAACACCGAACGAACTGTTTAACAAGAGCAGTAATATGGATATATCGGCGACATAATTTTTGAGATTTGACATTCTTGTTTATTCCCCTTTGTTCCGGCCTCAGCGATCACGATTGATGCTATTTACAGTTCCTATATTTGTTCATGTCCCTCCGTTGTCGTAGTTATACCCACTTGCAATCTACATATACAGCAGTCATCTCTTGGCATATTACTGTTTTGGTTCTCGTTTTGTCCTGATTAGCGTCTTGATCCTTGTTTGTATTGACTGTTCACCGCATGAAGGCACATGATTCGGACTCGGGATACCGGATGGCAGGGCCCGAATCAACCGGTTCTTCTGCAATAAACATCTATATTACTATCTCCGTAGCACGACTGCGAGATGTCCAAGGATCTTCTGGTGCCTCCCAAGTGGAGTACATGTTTGAGGCGAAGTGATGCTGATAGTGATGCCTGAGACTCGACCAGACCGACTGGATGGCAATGTCTCCTGGTAGCAGTTCTTTGACATTCCCTCCTCCGGCTTAATGAAGCTGAAACCCTGAATGCCAAGTATATAGATTGTTCTTTCGGGGGATGTTCTTGATTAACTATTTAGGGGTCGTTAATTTGCATGTTTCATGACAATTAACGTGAAACGATTCGCCCCGTCATAGGCGCTTTGGCACTTTACGACTTCGCTTACTCTCTATTAAGTGCTTTTCTGGTCCGTTCCGACCATTCTAGTGTTTACGGTTGAGGATTTACTGGTTTGGCGGTGCAGAATGAAATTAATGATAAGGTCAGGGTTGACAGAACGAACGGGCGTCTCCCCGATCCGTGGAGTCTGTCTTCTGTCTCACCAGGAGTATATCTCCATTTAGAGGCAAATCCGATATGATTGAGGATCCACGAAGGAGCCAGACCATCCCCGAGTCCAGGGTGTGTGTTTCATGATGAGATTGATTGATGGAGTTGCTTCGATCAACCCTAATCCGAGAGTATATAGAGGGAAGGGTATCGCTGCTCTGACAGGTTCCTTTCTTTCTCTAGTACACAGGCTTGTCCTTGTTAACGTTTTCATTCTCTTCTTGAAGCTTTCTTTTGGTTCTGGTCTGTGACTGTTCCGTCTTACTTTCTTCTCGTCTCTCATTCGAATCCTGGTATACTGGTATACCTGAGCCTTCCACTCTCGTTCAGTCTTTATCCAACCTTTTCTTTCACCATCTTCAAGAATCTGTCAAAATGAAGCAAGCCGGCTCCGTCCTCGCTCTTGCCAGCATTGTCTCCCTGGCCCACGGCCACGGTTTCATCAGCTCCCCTGAGCCCCGTATGCCCGGTTCCGCCATGTCATCCGCCTGTGGTCAACAAATTTACAACAACCAAAAGGCCGACAACTACGGTAACGTACAGGGTGAACTGCAGGTTGCCAACGGCCAGGACGACTACAGCGCCGAAAAGTGCGACATCTGGCTCTGCAAGGGCTACAAGTTCGCCGACAACAAGGACAACGTCCAATCCTACAGCGCCGGCCAAACCGTCAAGTTCGAGATCGACATTCGCGCCCCCCACACCGGTGTCGCCAACGTCTCCGTCGTCGACACCAACTCCAACACTGTGATCGGCAGCCCGCTCAAGTCCTGGGACAAGTACGCCTCCACCGAGACCGGTGTCACTGACGACGAAACCAACTTCAGCGTCACCATCCCTGAGAACTTGGGTAGCAAGTGCTCGACTGCCGGTGACTGTGTGCTCCAGTGGTACTGGTTCGCCGAGTCCATTGACCAGACCTACGAGTCTTGCGTCGACTTTACCGTCGGCGGCTCTGGCTCTGGCTCTAGCTCTGCTTCTAGCGCTGGCACTACCACCTCTGCTGCTGCCAACAACAACAAGGTCGCTTCTCTCCCTAGCACCATGGCGACCGTTGCTAAGCAGCAGGCCACCTCCTCGGCTGCCCCTGCTGCCAGCTCTGGGACTTCGATCCCCAAGGATGGTAGCTCCGAGGAGCAGCTCAACTGGATCTCCAACCTTGTGAGAAGCATTGTCAACTACGGTGCTTAGATAGCTAGAGATCTGTCTTCCGCTGTGACTTAGTTACCGTCAAGCAATATAACTAAGTTAATCTCATGTATATTAGTTTCGCTGTATTTCTTACAACGCACGGTGTTCCTATGAATATCGCGAATAATCGATTCTTATACTTGAAACCACATACTGGCATAGTACGGAGTAGCTAATCCATAGACCCGAATTACTATCCGAAAACGGCTATATTGGAACGCGTCCACGTGATATGCGCGTCAATGCGCGTCGCGCGCGTGTCCCCAGCCACAATTTCTCTTATCGTCATTTCCCTCTTTCCTCTTCCTTTTTCTCTCTCTTCTTTTCTTCATTCACAGACACTCTCCACTCTTCTTCTTCTAATACCACTTGTGCGTACTGCATTGCATCCACATTCCACATTCCACATTCCACATCCTGCATCTTACTGAACGTCCAATTAGCACTCGTCTTAGGCATTCAATTCCGACCGCTGCCCTGCCGCCTGCATACATACACATACCTCATTGTCATACCCCGCGCTGCGATAAGATCAATCGATCGATCAGTCAATCAATCTATTCTAAAGATTACAAGAAAAATGTCCATCCAACACATCACAAAAGACACCACCAAGCGCAGACGCTTCCAGCCTCCTATCACCTCATTCTTCTCTGCCCCAGCTCCTACCGCGAACGTTAACGATGATGACGATAACGGCGCTACACCCCGTGTCTCTCACTACCACTACTCTGCTGCTACCTGCTCGTCTACACCCGTCGTCCCTGCGAAGGTGCAGTCCTCGCTGCTGAGCGTTGGTATGCGCGTCCGGAAATCCGTTGCGGAGGGATACAAGACGCAGAAGGAATTGGAGAAGCAGTTGACCGCTGCAATCACCCCTACTGCAACTGCCAATGGTGCAAACCATGCGGAACTACCGCCCTTCTGCGGATACTCGAAGACTGAGGATCTGGCCGTGCAGGCGTTCTCGCGTCCTTCTGCGATGAATGAGCATGACCCCGTCACTGATGAAAATGACGCTTATTCGCTCCCGTCGAGTAGCCAGGGATCGTTTACCTCGTCGTTCAACGGACAAAAGCGGCCATATGACTCTGATGACATGGACGATAATGAGTTTGAGGATTCTTATGATGCCTCGCATCGGACTATTCTTGTGCCTTCGCTGGGACAGCAGAGACGGCGGTTTATTCCGTTGAAGAACCACAACCGGGTTTCTGGGCAGAGTATGGATGTTGACGACTTTGAGGAGGCGACTTTTCTGCGCCGCCGGGAGGATGTTGAGATGGATGGATATTAATCCAGTTCATTGCTGGTCGAATGCGCCAGCTTGTTTATTCCTTTCTGCTTTCGTCTTTTTCACGCCTCTTTATAACGCTTTAACTTCTGATTTCTATGGATGGGATATGTCGATATAATGATTCTCAGCGTTGTGTCACCGACTGGTTTCGGTGATGAGATTGGACTTATGTCTATCTTGTTTATTTGCTTCTGGTATATGCTTATTATGGAGGACATTTCTGGCGAGATTGTACAATACCCAAGGATATTGGTTTTGTTTTATTTGGGCTATCATTACTTTGTATTTATGGATCAGGAACTCAGGACTGCCATCTATCTATCGTGTTGCGTAGCCATCACCACTTAAGTATTAATAATACTGAGTACTATAATTATCTGATTGTAACTAACGCAGAGTAAGTTCAGAGGAAGGAGGTGAAAGAAAAAGAAAGAAAAAAATTACATGTGTTTCGTACTGCTTTCATACGATAACCTAAACACAGCGCCTTAGACCACTCGGCCATCTTGCCATTTGAGCTTCATCTTATCATGTCCATTACCGATTACAGCTTTTGCAATAGTTCTGAGGACACTTGTCTTTCTGGTGCTGACCAACGATACCGCATGCTCTTGGCTTGTAGAGAACCCTTGCTAATCTGATATGATTATCTGATAGAATATTTTGATTCGAGAAAGTTGTAGGAAGGAAAAGGATGCTTGACGTCAGTTTGTCTGTGTATGTACATGACAAGCATCAACCCGGACTCATTGTCCCAGAAGGATTGGGGATTGGGATTATCATCTATTGTTATTTGTCACTTAGATTCTCTTCCTCCTGTCTAGTTTACAGACAACACGCAACTTTTCCTACTCTCGTTGAAAGCCTACGTACAAAGTATAATGGTTGAGATGGAAGATGATTCAATTCCGCCAGATCCAACAAAAGAAAAGGGAGTAGGAGGCAAAAGCCATTCACACCCTAGGTATAATCTAACCTAGCCAAATATGTACACGCTATATTAATAGAAATCCGCCCAAAGAGATATAAGACAAATAAAATAAGGGGAAAACATTAACCATAAATCTCTTTTGTAAAAAAGAAAAACACCAAAAACACCAAAAACACCAAAAACACTATTATCCGTCATAACATATGATTCTTTTTTCTTTTTTTTTTTTTTTTCGAGATGGCTTAACTTAAGCAGTACCCTTCTTCCCCTTGGGCACACGCGCAAGCCAGTAGATAAACACCGCAGCAGCGATGTTGAATGCAATGTACACCCACATAAGCCCAAAGTTCCTCCACGCATCGCTGTAAGATGCATGGATCTGGGACAAAAAGCTATCCGTCTTGTCGATGCTACAAAATTTGCAGTTGCTCGTGGCATCTTTGACCTGCAGGTACCCGCCATAACCGTCGATGTAGTCCTGCATGTAGGACTGGCAGGTCATGTTCGCGGGTGGGTCGAAGCTTAGGAACTCAATTTTCTCGCAGATAGCGTCGCTGCCGGATACACCGGTGGACAACATTGCGGAGACGAGGTATGTGAATGGGGAGACGCGGTACATGAAGATCCAGAAGCCGGGAAGTTGTTCGGGAGGGGCGAGGACACCGCAGAAGATAAGGCAGAGGGAGAAGAGGAGGTTGGCGAGGTTGCTTCCTGTCTCTGGGAGTTCGATACCGGCGATGATCATGTGTGCGAAGGTGGAGGTGAAGAGGAGGAAGCTCCAGACGAGGAGGAACATGAGGGCGCCGCGTTCGTGGACGGCGTCGTTGGGCTCTGCGTTGCGGTACAGGCCGATGGGATAGTACCAGCAGACGAAGATGATGACGGCCATGAGGGTATTCCAGGGGATTTCGACGAGGATGTTGGCGGTCATGAAGGATTGCCAGGAGTAGGTTTTTGAGGGGCGCTCGCGGACTTCGTAGAGGGAGCGCTGGGTGCAGAAGTTGGGGAGGATTTGCTGGACTAGGTTGGTGAAGATGGTTAGGAGCATGAAAACACTGAACATTTGGTTCTGGAGACCCTGTTGGGTGTTCTCTGCTTGGAAGAACGAGAAACCGATGTACAAGGACGTGAGGATGGACAGGCATGCTTTGGAGTAGATGTACACCGGGCTGCGCCAGTATTGCGAAAAGACACGGACGAGACATTCCCAGAGCTGCACGCTGAAGGGAGCGGCGAATTCGTTGTAACTGGCGGGATCAGCATTGGGCGAGTCGACAGATTTCTGCGAGAGAGTCGATTTCAATTCAGCCAAGTGGTCGAGCACTCCCTGGTGTTCAGGGCTATCGCGCCAAACAGCCGGCCAGTCGATTTCGCTGTGAGATCCGGGGGCAGCACCAATGACTTCAAGCATCCATTCGGCAGGGTTCGCGCCAGGAGACAGCTTCGGGGCACCGTTTCGCTCAAAGTAGCTGGAAAGAGTAGAAGATTCTTTTCCGATGTCACCGAAGTAGACGGTCTTACCACCCTTGGCGAGGAACAGCAAACGGTCGAAACGCTGGAAGAGCATGGCCGACGGCTGGTGGATAGTACAGAGGATAGCTTGTCCGTGCTGAGTGAGCGTGTCAATGAGATCGAGAATGGACCAAGAAGTCTGACTGTCAAGACCAGAGGTAGGCTCGTCAAGGAACAGAAGAAGCTGGGGCTTAGCTGCCAGCTCAACACCGATGGTAAGACGCTTCCGCTGTTCGACGTTGAGACCTTCACCAGGAACACCAACAACGGCATCCGCATACGAATCCATTCCAAGGAGCTTGATCACCTCTTCAACATAGTCGAGCTTTTCCTGGTGACTGACATGGGCAGGCTGGCGGAGAACGGCACTGAAGCGCAAAGCTTCACGCACAGTCGTGGTGTGAAGGTGGAGATCTTGTTGCTGCACGTAACCAGTCTTCCGCTGGAAAGACTGGTCTCGGGGACGGCCGTCAACCAACATCTCACCAGTAACAACACCCATAGTCACACGAGTAGCGAGTACATCCAGAAGCGTCGTTTTACCGGCACCGGAAACGCCCATCAGCGCAGTGCAAGTACCCGGCTTAACCCAGCCATCAACGTGGTCGAGAATCCGGCGCGGTTCACTTTTGATCTTGATGTCGTAGCACACGTCCTGCCAGTGGAAGATCGCTTCTTGTCTCTGGATGCCTGCAGTGACTTTCTTTCCGCTAGACTCGTCCGTCTTTTCTCCGGAGATTACATGGGAGGTGTTTTCGATATCATCACCTTGGTGACGGGGAGCGTGTCCACGACGGAAGAGAAGCACTTCACCCTTAGACTTGGCTTCGGAAATGTACTCGGTGGCGATAAGGTAGGTTGCCATGAAGAAGATCATGAAACCGAACATGATACCCAAGTTCCTCCACTTGTGGGAAGCATAGTACTGGAAACTCTGGCCAAGGTAGTCGGTTCCTTGGACAATGTCCGAACCGGCAACAGCACCCACCGTGGAGCAGACCTTGTTCTCCAAAGGCATATCAGTGTATTGCATTTTAGTCGGGACCATGCCGGACGGAGGGCACGTGAATGGCCGGTCATTGAACTCGTTAACCATCAAGCTTTCGAAGCCATATGCGATTGGGTTGATGTAGTTCATCCAGCGAGACCAGCCAAGCATATTCCTTGTAGGGATCGTGAAACCGGTGTAGATAACCAAACCGAGAATGAGGATGGCAGCAGGCACCAGGGCTTGGGACAGGGTCCTGGAGGATGCGGCCATTGTACGGAAAAGCATTGACATGGTCAGGGTGGTAATGAACGAGAAGAGCAGGAAGATGAAGAAAGCACCGGGTTCACGACGCAGGTTGGTCATAAAGTACAATGTGATATTGAAAATGATCGCGTTGAGTATCTTGTAGGGCATGTCGCACAGCATCGAGGCCACGGCTTCGGCAAACGGATGGTACATGGCGTAGCGAGCTTGCTTTTCGACAATAGGACGTTGCGCATACAGAGTCAAGATCTGGCCATGTTAGTAACAAGTTTCTCGCGCCCATTAGTCGAAAAAGCCAACTCACCTCAAGAGCACTAGAGAAGGCGTTAAGCAAAACAGCAAAGAAAAGCAGTGCTCCACGAAAATAGAAACTGCCGGTGGTGGGTTGCAAGTCGTAGAAGACGCTTCCAATAATCAAGGCCATGATGAAGTTACCGATAAGCTGACTCAAAGTCAAGCTGGCATCACCTCTCAAACGCTGGAAACCCCGAATCATGCAGAGTCGGATCTGCTCCTTAACGGACACGGTGTAGGGAGACTTGATCCGCTGGCTCTTTGCCTGCATGGCTTTGCGGGCTTCAGTAAATTTGGCCACCGATTGGCCGCCCACCGGATACTCCTGCTCATATTCGTCGATCTCTCTCATCAACTTCGCATACGCCTCGCTGTTCTTCCAGCGCTCAGCGAACTCATCGGGCGTCTGGGGGACCCTGCCTTCATAGCCCTTCTTCACGATACGCTCAGACGGACTGGTCAGGGAAGTCAAGAAATCGGCGGTTGTCTGACGGTCAGGGCATTCAAAACCCATGTCGGTGAAAAATGACTTTGCCTCATCGGTGCGGCCAAAGTAGATTTGGCAACCCTCATAGAGGACTGTCACCTTGTCGAAGATATCGTAAGCGCTCTGGGAGGCCTGGTAGATGGCAACAGCGACAGTGGAGCCGGCATATTTGGTCATCAGGTTCAGGGTCTTGCAGAATTCGAGTGCGTTGGCACTATCCAATCCACGGGTACTGTTATCCCAGCATTGGATAGGGCTACCGCTGAGGGTTGCCTCAGCGATACTAACACGCTTCCGCTCACCACCACTGACACCACGAACAAAATCGTTTCCGACTTGAGTGTTGATGGTGTGCGAGAGTCCAAGCATAGCCATGACAACGTCTCGCATGTGTTCTGCATACTGATCCTTCGAGACGCCGGGCAAACGGTTCCGGGGGCATCGAGCCAACGCGGCGAACTTCAGAGTGTCGGCAACAGAAAGTTGGGGGAAATGGACATCGGTTTCGGCAGTGTAAATGGCTTCACCACGGAATTGGTTGCGCATTTGCTTTGCAGGGATACCTAATTTGAAGTCAGCCAATCAATTCAGTAATGAGTATGTGATGTGGCATCGTACCTTGGTAACTCAAGTGGGAGGATTCATCCATATAGATACCATTCATCTCACCAGCCATGGTTTTCAACAGAGTTGAGCAGCCACTAATACATTTGTTAGCATGGTTCCTCAAGCTTCACTCTAATAGGTAGTTCTGCATACCTTCCAGGCCGTCCCAAAACCACCAGCATCTCACCACTCTTGACGAGGCCATCAAAGTTGCGCAAGATCTGAATCTTCTGCTTTCCGGTACCAGTGACGAGACGGAAAAGATGACCGATCTGAAGAACCGAGTTGAACACATCCTTCTGATAATCCGTAGGACTACCATAACCGTGCACGCTCATGTTCTTAAACGAGATACCCGCCGCTCGCTGACGAAACCTTTCAGGATCCCGGGCAGTCAAAGCCAACAGGTTCTTCATCCAATCGCGCGCTTTGAAGTTGTCTCCATGGGGGTTCAACGTTGAGCCCTCCACAACATCAAGAAACGGGTTCTCCAGGCTTGCTGACGTCGAGTAGTGCGTCGACTGGCGTGTCAGCTGCTGTGCCAGTCGAGTCACCTCGCATTTGGCGTAATCTTCCTTGCTCATCTCGCGTTGTTGTTCCACCTTTGTATCGTCTGTGCTGAAGCTATGGCCATTTGTGTTGTCGAATCTTGGTGCATCTAGTACCGGAGTAGACACAGGGCTTGGCGATCCTGAGGATGACATGACGAGTAAAGAGAGGTAGAGGTCGGGGAGGAGGGAGGAGGGTCGAATGAGACGAGCGTCTCAGAGGTCGACGGGATTAGTATTAGGCGAGTTAGTAGTCGAGGCTCATGAAGGAAAAGATTATTAGGATTAGGTATTAACTGTAACGTAAGACAGCATTAACAAATTAGGCAAGCGTGAAGCCTGATAACAGCATATATGAAGAAAGATAGAAGCAGAGGCACTCGGAGAGAAATGAAAGCGAGAAGGATAATATACAAAACCTCATGCCCCACGCGTATTCTTGTACATTCAGGAGGACATCAGAATTTCCATGGCCATGAGCCAATCGGAGTGCGCAAAGACTAGGTTCCGGGACCCATCGCGTCCAACAATGGTCGGCGTTTCAAAGCATCGTTCCGGAAGATTTTAGCAAGTTCCTAATCGGGAACGCGGGAGGCTTTCAATCCGCTCCGGATACATACGTGCAAAGACCCGTGATAGCTCCAGTCTTTCTTTGTTGCTGTATAGCCCTACATAAGCGCTACATAGTACATACAGCATTTGCTATCAGAATACTACCAGCTACAGACCACTACGTATTCCGTACATAGTACTACTTGTACAGCTAACGTTTCGGAAGTATTATGCACATGCATAACGACATATGCACCAAAACCTCCGTAATCCTCCGTAATTACAATGCACTTATCTGGAAAAGCTAGATCGATACGAGCATGAATAAACGTCTTTCTTTGCACAGACCACCGGTAACCCAAACATCTTCGGGCATAGCTCCGGCGTGGCAACAGGTTAAACGAGATTCGTTTATCATAATAGGACTAGCGTAACCTATACAGCGGGGCGGACTGGTGGAATCCCGAGTCCCGGCGGAGTCATAAAAGTAAAACAAAATAAAAAGGAGTTCCAAGTCCGGGGTCGGAGTCGCACAGATCCGAATTCCACGTGCATTGGGGTGCATAAGGCTATCTGACTCAGTTATGCTCGGTTAATGTTCAGAGTCTAGAACGCGGGCAGCTCCGATTGTAGAGCGCAGCAGTTCGACCATTATTTCCCGTCAACCTAATCTCGGTCATTCTGATGTAAAGGTTAGCGTGCAGAGTCAGATATTATTGGTGTACATAATAGTATGGTCACATTAATCGCATCTCAGGTAAGATATGTACAGCATTAGTTATGAGAACAGTTCAAAGAACAGCGTTGTTGCCCGTACTTCATAGTGATATTACTACTAATGTAAAGATCTCGATCCGGTTTCTAACCTGTTCATACTGATAATGGCATGGTTCGTAACTCGTAGAGATCCAGTTCCAGCTTGTAGAGCACGGGATTAGTTCATAATCATGCTATTGGCCTAAACCCCATCTGTGGATTGTACAGTGGTCCATCCCATGTAAATCTATGACTATGCCTCTTCTCGTTCACCGTCGCTCTCATTGTCATCGTGGTCAATAGTTTCCACCAGCAAGTTGCCGCCGCGACCAATCTTGTCCCGAATCGAGCCTCCAGCTTCAATCTCATAAACAGTTCGAGGCATAGGAGATACCAGCTGGAATCCGTATTTATGCTCGAACCCTTCCGGTTTCTCGCCACCCGTAGCCATCTGCTCTGCATCCTGCAAGACATCATAGCACTCCACAAAAGCGTAGAGCTCTTCAATGTCCAGCTCAGGTGAAAACCTGCGGATTACCCGTTCACCCGATGTAAGTCGAACACTGATGCGCACGGTTTCTTTGAAGTCAGCGCCAGGCTCATTCTGGATTGACTGTGCTCGCCAACGTTTCCATTGCTGGTGATCACGACGTAGCTTCTCCTCTTTCTCTTGTCGTTCCGCTGCTTCTTGCTCTTGACGGCGTTGTTCCGCCTCTGCTTCCCGCCGTTGTCGAGCCCGTTCCCGGTCAATGGCCAACGAACGTTCGTACGCCGAGTCCTGCTCTTCTCGAAGGCTACGTGAAGCTTGTTGTTCAGAACGAGTGGACCTGGTCTGTTCCAGGGGCTCTCTGTGTTGCGAAATGGCCGTTCGTAGCTTCTCCACGAACTCAGACGGTGACGATGTCCCCGAGATTCTAGAGACAACGGACATGGCGCTTGAAGAAACGTTGGGCGTATGGACAACCAGCGTAGCAAACGGGAACTTGGTACAACGCAAAGAATGGCTGACTTGGTATGCCTCAGAATCCAGCACATTGCCTCCCCAAACAATGATCCCGTTCTGTGGATCATTGATGAAATCCGTCACCTCGCGTGAAAGGAGCGTGTCCCGTACCCAGCTGCTTGTATCATCATGCTCTGGAGACAAAAGAACCACAAGCAGGAATTTCAAGTCCCGATGAGCCTTCTCCAATGCCATGTTATATCCATGCTCCAAGAAGCTCACGGAGTGAGTACCGTACTCTTCCTCAAATTCCCGGATGAATCGAGCCGCCGTGTCCTGTGGACTCAAAGCCCTGCGACCTGTAGTGTTCCGTCGAGCTCCCTGAAGAGCAGGGTTCGCGGTGAGGTTGAAGAATCGTGGGAGGAATGGAAACAACGTTCCGAAGAGACGGAAGGAGCTGGTGAGTAACCGGTAAATGAGGTTAAACGGGGCGAACAGTAGAGCCAGTAGGAACGGAGGACGGTAGACTGGTTGTTGTTCTGGTTGGGTATGTACTCGTGGGGCTGCTTCCGCGACCGGGGAGAAACGCCCAGCAGACAAGTCCTCGCTCATGAGGTTCTGGGTCTGTCGTGTCGGCCGTGCCGGTGGAGGGTTATCGAGGGCAGCGCGAGCCTCTGCAACGGGGTCCGGACCTTCGCCATCGAAAAATTTGGAGACAGCAATCTTCATAATCATATTTCAGTACTTCTGCTTCCCATATAATGCCTCTAAGAAGCTTGCCAGTACTAACCTGCACATTCCATTGCGAGCGGCGCAACAGAGGAATAGCTTCGGATACGTCCTGGCTTGTAACCGCCATGTAGGTTTCAAGAGCAGCCCTCTCGCTATCAGAGAGCTGAGAAATGTCAATCCCAGAGGAAGACATTTTGAATTAACGTGGGAAATCCATAAAAGTAACCAGGATTCAAGACGATCCTCCAACTCCGAGGCTCCGATATACGACCTTATCTCAAAAGATAACGAACGGTCCTGACGGACTGAACGTAAGTGGCGTAGAAGAAAATAAAGGATTGACGGAAACGACGCGTTTCAAAAGGTCGCCTATGACTTTGTTGGAAATTGCAAGAGTGAATCGAGGAAGTACCGTAAGCTGTCCTCTTACCCTGGAGCTCAACGCCGTGTGGCGTGATAGCCGCGCGCTTGGCGCCTATATCCCGGCACGTGCACCGCCAGGCATTAGGCTGCTCTCCCCGCGGACATTCGATCTCTCGCTGCCTCCTCCGCCCTTCGGCTTGTACCCCGTGGCGTGAAGTGGCATCGGCGCTGCTGTCGTCCAACTATTACTTTTCCCTTATTGGTATTTTCTTCTATTTTTGATCATATATGTTTTGAAATTTGGGGGGAGCATAGTTCATTTGGAGAAGCTCCCATTCAGCCCGTCCTTGGCTATCTGCCCTAGCGGCAGTGAATCCCAACGCCGACTTCGTCTCAAGTGCAACCGCTATCGCGTTCACCTTTTTCGATGAGGGAATGTGGTTTCCTCTAATTTCGCTCGTTCGCCCGGTTTTCCTCTACTTGATTTCAATGGAGATTTATCTGCGCTGAGCCGCATCACCGAAATCTACGACTACTGTTACATGCGATGGCTTCCACGGGGAAGTCCAGTACGGAAGATTCCCGTCGGGGAATGGGTTCGCCCAAACCTAAGTCACGAGGTGAGTGTGGTTTTGATCGCTTTCTGGCAATTGCTGTTGTTGTTCGAATGTCCATGGCTGGATGTACTAATGAAGTAGTGTACCCAGAGAATGCCAAGGACACCCTATGTCGGAACGTTACCATCTACGGCCGATGTCGCTATGAAGATAAAGGTGCGCGAATCCCCTGATCTACCGTTTATATCGGCAATTGCGAGTATAATCTAACCGTCGCATGTGCTCTATCTCCAGGCTGCGCTTTCAATCACGATCCGCAAAAACAGAACCCCGCGAATAACTTCGACAGGTTGTGATACCCTATCAGCTGGTTTCATTCGATGACTCTCGTGGAACCACAACTTAATATAAAGAATGGCTAGTGGCTGACTTGCGGCCTTTAGTAACGGCAACAGAAAACGATTCAATGTCGATTCTCCCAGCTTTACTCCTTCTCTACTGTCTACCAATGGATCAACGACACCCACGAAAAAAACATCGGCAACTATTTCACCGAAAGCTGCGAATGCTGCCCCGTTCCAGCCTAGGACTGTCTCGTCGCGTATGCCGTCGTTATATCTTGATCAAAAACAGAATCGGTTAGCTGACTGGAAAAAAGGTTCTAATTCAAGCACGCCAAGTTCTCGTCAAGACACACAAACCCCTGATTGGACTGTAGCAGAAGCTCAGGAGTTTGTCCCACAAGGCTTTGATGCCCCTCCTATGGTAAGATAGCACTTTCCTTTTCCGGTCATTGTCCCCTCCATCCTGCATCATGTGAATGAGTCGCTCCTTCCCACACGAACTGCTCGTGTCACGCAGAGCTTTGGATCCCTGGATTGTCCCTCTCGCGGTGATTTAAGCAAGCAACGCATTCGAGCGACATTCTGGTTTCAGCTCTAGAGAATGGATGCTCCCAGGGTATCCGGTGACACTCATAGTGGCACTTCTCGGAACCCAAACGCTCTTGCTGATAACTTCGGTCCTTCCTCTTATTTAATGTTTACCCAATCTTTACCGCACTTCACAAATTCTTATCTCCAACCGAGCAATTTGCCTACTTCAGACATGCGTCTTGGCTCCAGGAGATCTCATGCTAACTCAACCTCCCAGACTCCTCTCCAAGGAACCGGTACCAATGGTCTCGCTACTACGGCTGCGTTTGATCCTTTCGTGACGGCCCCGGCTCCCCTTTCTGGTGCAGGTGTGGGTACTGTTCCGGGAAACCCATATTCACCTGACACAGCTGCTGCTGCTGCTACAGCTGCTGCATTGAATGGCGCAGCTTTCTTTGCAAACCAAAGTGGATTTCAGCAACCAGTAAGCCAATATCCCATCTGTCTTTCCGAGTTGGTCTAACGCTTCGCAGGTACAATATCATCTTTATGCCCCTATCGGACCACATAACCAAAACACCTTGGGCTATCAGCGCAACGTTCATGACATTTTTCTCCCTAATGACTTCCGAGAAGAGTTACAGAAGAAAGCAGCCGCAACGCTGCAGATGCTTCCCAGTGCGTTTATCTCTATTCACTTGATGTATGACAGGCGACTAACTCCAGATCAGACACCCAATTGCCGGCTCAAGTCGATTATTTCCATTCTCTTGTTCCACTGGACCTGAACCACCAAAAGAATGCAGCCACTTTTGGTTTCCCTAGTTGGGTATACAAAGCGCAGTCCAGCAAGGATGGGAATTTCTATGCTCTTCGGAGATTAGAAGGCTTCCGTTTGACGAACGAGAAGGCCATTCGATCTGTTCAGGCGTGGAAGCGAGTGTGCAATGGCAGCGTAGTGACGATTCACGATGCTTTCACAAGTAGGAGCTTTCAAGATAGCTCGCTCATTTTTGTCACTGACTACCACCCTCTTTCGAAGACACTTGCAGAACAACACCTTGGGGCTGGGAACAGATTTCAAACTCGGCATCCTGCACACATTCCTGAGCAGGTGCTTTGGAGTTACATGACACAACTTGCAAACGCGTTGAAGGCTATCCACAGTAATGGGCTTGCTGCGAGAATCATCGAACCCAGCAAGATTCTTTTGACAGCCAAAAATCGCGTTCGCTTGAATGCGTGCGCTATCATGGACGTGGTCCAGTACGAAGCTCAGCGATCGGTTACGGACCTTCAACGCCAGGATTTGGTCAACTTGGGGCAGTTGATCGTTACCCTAGGAGCAAACTCGCCAAGTGTCATGGGTAATCCTACTAGGGCTATGGAACACTTCACGCGTGCCTACACGCCACAGCTGAAGAATTCGGTATTTTGGTTACTGAACGGCATGCAAAAGGATCAAGAGCGGAGCATTGACATTTTCATCACCGGAATTTCATCGCAGCTAATGTCGACATTCGATTCGTCCCTCCATTTGGATGATCAGCTCACATCGGATCTTAGCCGTGAGCTTGAGAACGGTCGCCTTGTACGGTTGATGACAAAATTGAATCTCATTAACGAGCGGCCCGAATATGACCACGATCGGCAATGGTCCGAGAACGGGGAGCGGTATTTCTTAAAGCTCTTCCGAGATTTTGTTTTCCATCAGGTGGATGCCCAGGGAGATCCAGTTGTCGACCTCGGGCATGTGCTCGCATGCTTGAACAAGTTGGACGCGGGATCGGACGAAAGAATTACCCTGGTGAGTCGGGATGAGCAAAGCTGCTTTGTCGTCAGCTATAAGGAGCTCAAGAAGGCCCTTGAATCGTCTTTCCAGGCATTAATGAAGCCGGGGAGGAGGCTCCCTTGAATTAGTTGGTGATATAACACTTGGATACATGGCTTAATTATGATGACTTTGCCTCTTTTTCCTTTTGTTCTTGCTTCATTTCAGCGAGAGGAATACTATATATGCTAGGAGCGGCCAAGACAGACGGTACTGTCTGGCCCGATATCGTGGGTATTTTGAAGCAGCATCTGGGTCTGAGAAAGTGAGGTGTCTGGAGGTTCAAGACTTTGGCCGGTGTGGTCTTGGTCTCGCCCATTTGGAGTTAGGATTTATCTATGGCACCACAGGCGAACGATGTACGGGATATGCTTCGGAGGATATTGCTTACAGAAAGATACAAAAAATATCTTAGGAAATATATTCAATTTTCAATTCATCTTGCATTATATGCTTTTAATATCGGTTTTGTTGTAGTCCGGCAAGCATTCAGAGAAACAGCAGTTGAACAGCCTTTACCAGTATGCTGCCCTTCTTGGAGCATGGGACGGAGTAAACTAAAGCTCACCGTCATGGTCCCAGATGTTGCCAGGAACGTCATCGACAATCCAGTCACTCAACCGATCTTTCAAGTCCTCAACTGTCAACTCATCCTCATCCTGATCCTCATCAGCAACATCACCCCGATGCTTGCACGGCGGAACCAAAACACGGTCCAAAATATGCACAGCCCCATCCCTCGCAAGCGCATCCGCAAACGCAACTTTCCGGGCCCCATTCAACTTAATCGACGTATATGCCCCAAACCTTGAAACATCAACCGCCAGCCCGGGCCGTCCCTTCTCCCCCAACAAAGTCGGCAAATCAAGATGCGTGTAGCCCTTCGTACCAAGCTCGCGGGTCTGGCCATCGGGCGTGTAGAACGTGTCTGAGTAGAGCGTCCGGTTCTGGACGATGTGGTACTGCAGTAGCGCGCGGAGGTACTTTGTGCCGTGGTGGGAGAAGAGGAAGGCGTTGATGTGCAGGCCTAGATGTTCGAAGGCTTTGTTGGAGGGGGCGAAGATGGTGACGCGTTTATCTGCGTCTTCGAGGGTGGCGGCGAGGCCGGTTTTTAGGAGGCCCAGGGTGAAGGTGCTGAATTGGGTGGGGACGATGGTGAAGAGGGAGAGGGCTGGTGGGGGTGGGAGGAGGATGGAGTCGATGCCGTGGATTAGGCCGTTTGAGGCGGCCTGTTTCCCATCAATTAGTATTCTTTTATCAGGTAGGGTGAAGGGAGGGGGGACGTACAATATCAACTGCCACCAAACGACTATGGAAGTTAACCTTGAGACCCTTCCATCCAGGACGAACGGTGACTCTCTGCGGAAGCTCATGTCCAGACGCAGTTTCATTCAACAACGTCGGCAAAGTCTGGTGATGAAAGACATCTAGGGCTGAGTAAACGCCCGCAGCGAGATGATAGCGTAGCACAGCACGGATGAACTCCTTGGGCAGCTCGGGGAGATGCGGCGGGAGTTTAGCGAAGGCGTCGTCTGTTGGTGCGAAGAGGGTGAAGTTATGGCTTGTGTTGTTAAGTAAGTGGACGAGGGATTTGTCCTCGTCGATGATCTTGGTGAGATTGGTTGTGTATTTGCTTGAGGAGATGAGTTGGTAGATGGTTTTGTCGGAGTCTCCGTGGTGGTGGTGATGCTTTGAGAAGGGGAGGTGGGGGAGGGGGAAGGGGAGGTTGCTGTCGATTATGTCTTCGTCGTTGCCATTGCCTGTATATTCTTGTCCGTCGGTGTCTTCGTCCTGGAGGGAATCCAGGGCATAATCCTTGAGACGGTTGATCCATGAGTCGATTCGGGAATCGGAGTCGATTTTGGGCTTATTCACGCTGAAGGAGTCGAGATTATCATTCAGGGCATTCTGAATGTTTTGTTTCTGGGTAAAATGGGCCTTTTCATTGTTGATTTTGTTCATGTTTAGGTCCTCGAGGACCTCTTCGGATGGGATAACATAGGCCGCGCCGAGGGGGAGGAGGGGCAGCAGGTGGAGGAGTTTCATAATGACAGAAATATATCCAATAATAATAGATTTTTACAGTAAGTGCATATTCTACGGTAAGAGAAAAGAATCTTGAGCCAGTCAGCGAGAGCATCATTTATACTTATCAACCCATATCGCAATCTCGTACTCGTATTGGTATCCCGAAGCGAACACGCGATGACGAAACGGCAAATGGCGACTTTAAATGATGCAATTGTGAGTAGAAACGGCATAAAATTAATGTACATCAGTATGTCAGATATGCATATGCATATAAGGGAAGTGATGTTTTGCATTTCTTATTCCGTTCAATCATAGATAAGATTGCGCTCTATTATGTTACACAACCAACACAACAGACATGAGGGAGGACGTGTCTCGTTTTCAATCGTTCCGTATGATCATTATTGGCGTAGAACTGCCAGCTATGGCATAAAGGATATTCTGTAATAGATGGACGCAGGTAGCAGCCAATCATTACCCCGGCTATGATGATTGCTACCGCTCCTTGTCTTGCGGGTTGAACAGGGGGAAGAACGCCGGAAGAACCGGTTCCTAGCTTGAGGGAAAAATTATAAAAGAAGAGCAGATGTTTACTCCTCTTGCTGGGCAAAAGGATTGGCAATTTCCTCGCTACCATCGGCGGGCGAAATCAGCACGATCAAAGTGCCACGGGCCACGATCAACCCAAGGGCACGAGTAGTCTCGTTGCCTTCGTCATCTGAATGTTGTTAGAAGACAGTCTTTCAATTATCGCAGATGTTATGGTCTTACCGCGCATCGACTCCTTAACATCATCCAAGACCAGGTTCATAAGCTGGTCGTAGCCTTTGAGCGTTCCCGTCACTAGATTCATTAGCCCTATGCATGGCATGTATTCCACTTAGTTAAGCTTACCCTCACGACCACCGCTAAACTTCACCTTGACCTCCTTGTCCATATACTTGGACAAATCAAGGATATTCTCCTTCTTGGGCCTCTCCTGCTGTTGCTGGTGTGGCTGGCCTGCACCGCCACCTGCACCGCCACCGCGCTGACCGCCCCGGGCATAACCTCCGCCGCGGCCACGACCACCACCACCTCGGAACGAGCCTCTTTCGGACATGTTGGAGACCGGAGTCAATAGAGTTGGTTGTTGGTATTAAGGGTATGCGTAACCAGGTCAGACTCCCAAAGTAGAGCAAAGAGGAGCTGTTGTGAGAGGGAACTGTATGAGGGATTTTCAGAGAGGGGTTGGTTGGTTCGCAGAGATTCGGCGCTCGTGGCTTGTGCCTGTGTTTGTGCGTGTGTAATGGTATTGTAAAGCACGGACAGTCATTTGACTAGTTGTGTGGTGTTTGATTGGTTATAATGCAGGCGGAAGTCCAGCACGGAGTGTCAGAATACGGTAATGATACCGGCAGGACTCGCCCGGATCCAGCAAGGCGTCCCGGTCACCGGAGAGGCTGGACCGGCCGGGAGGAACGGCGGGTGATGATTGGCGGGTGGAGTCATACCTGAGGCAGCTATGTTTGGATCCTACGCACGCACTACAAGTAAGCATTGACATGCCCCCATAACTAGTATGGACATACAGACTTACTACAGAGTATTCACTATGTTAGACTCAAATTGCATTGTTTCAGCACAATCTACAGATTACAATCATGCTGCCTAGGCATAATCCTCGAGGCCTCGTAACTCCGGTCCCCACCGACTGGCCAGCGGAATCGCCCGGCGGGACTCCGCTGTATCCCTGTCGGCCCCGTCACACTGAATCTTCCGCCCTCACTCCTCTCCTCCCTCCTCCCACGCTTTCTTTCTGTGTCTTTCTCGTTCTTTGTTTCCTCCTCCTACCCTTATCCTTTACTATTCCTATACCCTACCGCTCGCTATCTATTGCTCTGCGTTGTTCACTTGACAACAGTTTACCCGCCTCTGTCGTGGCCCGTCAATCGCCTCGAATTACGTGCTTTTGTTGTCCAGGTGGCCCTCGCTATCGCCGCCTATCAGCCAACTCTACCCCTGAGGCTTTTCTCCTATCCTCCGGCCATTTAACTTTTGCGGCTAGGGAGTTTGTTCTCTGTCGCCGGATTTATACTCTTTTGTTTCCAGGGTGTTGAGAAAAAAGAAGAAAAATTGCCGTCGCAATGGAGTCAAGACCAGCGCCAACAGAACCGGCACCGGCCAGCGCCAGTAAACGGCCTCGATCACCTTCGGGTGACTTCCCTCCCATCGCATCTAAAATTCCGAAGACCGTCTCGAATCACCTTCAGATCAATTACCTCGCGCGTCAGTACCCGGATAACCTGCCCCTCGTCGCCGTCGATGATAACATGTCCGCGATTCTGCACCTAATCGGCGAGTATGACGGAGTCTTGCAGCGTCACGAGAGTATCGCCGGTAACCTGGGCGCATGTCCATTGGGTCCCATCTTGATTAAGCGGTTTGAGCGTTTGTTCGACGGACCGCCGCGCGTTCTCAAGTCGCACGGCAAGGATCCCAACGCTATCACTTGGCTTGATGTTGTGGAGTTCGCCAAGAACAAACCGGAGCAGTTCAACCTGGAAAAGTCTCGCAATGGGGTTCGTGTTTGCCAATTCTATACTAAGCAATGTCGCGTTGAGATCAGCGAGGAGGACTTTGTGTTGATCGCATCGGGCATGCCCCAGAAGATGATCCCTCCACAGCCGATCATCGAGGATGAGGAGAAAGAGCTTGGCGCTTTGGAGATTTTAGAAAAGAACTTGCAACAGATTGTTTCGGTTGCTGATCAAGGTGTGTACTTTTTTCTTTCTGGGTTGTGAACGAGGTGAACTAATTTTGCAGTCTCTGCTCGAGCACGACAACTCAATCACCGGCTCAAGAACCGCCGAACTGCAATTATTGCCCGTCGTGAGAATGATGCAAATTTACATATACCCCGTTCGTTGAGTCCTGTCTGGCGTGAAGCCAACGGCTATGGCGCAGCCAACCCACACTCGCCATCTACCGGGTTTGTCGCCGTCAATACCCACAACAGTCGCGCAGAACCAGCTCTAGTAGCAGAAGACGGCCACCTGCCTTCGCCGTTTATGTTCTCGCATTCCAACACCGAGAATGTCACCATTATCAACGGAACCTCCATCAAGGGTGCATCTCCGACAACGCGCGCTGAGCTAATGAAGAAATTCTTCACGACCGCAGACCGCCAAGCCCGTGGTTACGAGGACCCACCTGCTGCGACGCAAATGAGTCGACAATCTTCTTCGCGCCCACGACCCAGACCCTCGGACGCCAGTGACTACAATGGTCTCTACAACCCATCTCCAACGACGGTCGCCATCCCGAACACTCCCTCCTCGTTATTACCTCCACCCAAGTCCAACCAGTCCGAGAAGGATGACGGTGGTCCGTTCAAGATAGAGATGGTAACGCGCATGGAGGAGCTTCAACGGGGCGAACGTATCATGCCTCCCTGCGATCGTTGTCGCCGTCTCCACATGGACTGTTTGAAGAACCTCACTGCCTGCATGGGCTGCACGAAGAAGCATGCCAAGTGCTCTTGGAAAGACGTTAAGGAGGAGGAGCTCCAGGAGACTCGATCCGAGCGTCCTTCCCACGAAGTCTCAGCGGACGAGCCCTCCAGACCTCGCAAAGAGTCAATCTCTGTATCCTCACCCGCGGCCCCGGTTCCCGCTTCCACTTCTGCTTCTACTCCTGCTGCTCCGGTCCCTGCTTCTATTCCTATTCCCGCCTCCGCTCCCGCTCCGACCCCGTTGCTAGCGCCCGATTACGAGTCCGCGAGGAACCAGAACTCCAACGTGCGGAGAGAATCGGCTCCCACGACGGCACATGGATTATCGGGTCCATCAATGGGCCCAGATCCTTCTCCACGACGAGCAATGAGTGAAATCCATGGCGGCGCCGCACCAAATCATGACCGGAGAGTTAGTCTCCACCGCCGCGATGCCCCTGACGACGATGATCCGGATGCCAACCAACGTTTGATGCAGGCGATTTGGGATACGGTAGACCACCACAGCCGGGGGGCGGCACCTGGCCCCACGCCAGACGGGAAAAGCGATGTGTCTCAAGACCGGGAGCGCAAACGAGAACGAGAACGAGAACGAGAACATAAGATGGTGAAAGCATGAACATGGAGCATAGGTATATTCTCTGTATATATACTCTTTCCTTTTCTTTGGGTCTGGGGAGGGGGGGGGATTTGGTCTTTTTTGTCTTGGTTAGCGATTAGCGGATATCCCTTTGTTGAGTGATTTTAATGATATATGAAGAGTATATGCTTGATGAATATCCACAGCTTCTTCGGAACCCTGCATCTGCATAACCCTTATCTTGGGATGCATAGTTGGAAATAAAGTGTTGCCGGTTCCCGGACCGGAAGGCTTAGCATCGTACCATAGAAGAAGCCCAGCTGGTTTTCTAATCAGATGCATCTAGAAATGGAGATCATACCAGAGGTGATGTTCATTCCAGACATAACCGAGGTATACACATGAAATCATGCATTAGCGTTCATAAAACTCCAATGCATGACGTCAATCATGGAAGGAGTAAAAGCTCCGTACTCTAAATAAGCTAATCAGACTGAGATCGCCAATACTTAAGTCAGTTGAGTCTCCCATAGTCCGTAGATAGCAGTGCACCATTCACCACTACCTCAATCATTTGAATCAACCCAATTGACCTCTACAATGTCCGGCCTCACAATCCACCACCTCCGCCGCTCCCAATCTGAGCGAGTCATCTGGCTCTGCGAAGAACTCAACCTCCCCTACACCTTAATCTGTCACGACCGCGCACCCACCCTTCAAGCCCCAGAATCCTACCGCGCCCTCCACTGGGCCGGCACAGCCCCCATAATCACAGACAACAATGGCAGCATCACCCTCGCCGAAACAGGCGCCATCTTCGAATACATCCTCACCAAGTATGCCCACGGCCGTCTCTCCTACCCCCCAGACCACCCTCAATACGCCGACTACGTCTTCTGGCTGCACCGCGTAAACGGGTCCTTCCAGCCCGCGCTCATGTCAGTCATGTATAATAAGCTGCGGGGCGGGAGCGACGAGGACCGCGTGTCGCAGGTGATGCAGAGACGGCTGCGGGTTAATTTTGAGGCGATGGAGAAGCAGTTGGGGAGGTTTAGGTATTTGGCAGGGGATGAGTTTACGGCGGCGGATTGTGTTACTGTTTTTTCGTTGACGACGGGACGCTTGTTTATTCCGTATGGGCTGGAGGGGTATCCGAATATCGTGAGGTATTTGGAGAGGATTGGGGAGAGGGAGGGTTTTAGGAGGGCTATGGAGAAGGGGGATCCCGGGTTGGTTCCTGTGTTGTCGGCGGAGGCGCCGAGGGAGACTATGTGGAAGTTGTAATTGCGATACACTACAACTATATATAGTTAGTTACTTCTTGATATGTTTACGCAATAATGCAGACCGGCTAAAGATCTACACATCAATGCCGAGCGGAATCAATTCCTCTGCTGAGTCATGGGGAATTCTCCGAGTCCTTAAAATCGCCCATCGCTGATTGGCCACCATGCTTAATCCGTAAACCCGCATCTCCAAATTGGTAACTCTCACTTGCGATGACTGACCGATATGTAATCCGCAATTGGCGGGGATTGCGGGGAGAGAGCAAGCAATTGGATTCATAAAGGGATCTCTCGTCCTTTGTTTTATATTCTCCTTCTACTCCGTACTCTGTATCAGAAGAGACATCTATACCAATTCAACAGCAAGATGGACCCCTCACAAGTCAAGATTCCGCCTATGAAAGACCTAACGGCGGACAACATCACCCAGAACGTCCATACGATTAACTCCCTGTGCGAAGATGAGCGCATGAAATACGTCCTCGAGAGACTAGTCACGCACCTGCACGATTTCGCGCGCGAGACTAGACTCAGCACCCAGGAATGGATGACGGGCTTGCTATTCCTCACAGAAGTGGGGAAGATCTGTACTGATGTGCGACAGGTACGCTTACCACTACTCTAGTACATAAATTGAATAAAGAAGCTAAGAAACACAGGAATTCATCCTCCTCAGCGACGTCCTCGGCCTCTCCCTCCTAGTCGACAGCATCGGCCACCCCAAACCTCCCGGCTCAACCGAAGGCACCGTGCTAGGCCCCTTCCACACACACGACGCTGAAGAAATCACCACCGGCGCCTCCATGTCCCACGACCCAAAAGGCGAGCCCCTCCTCGTCGTCTGCACACTCAAAGACACAACCGGCCGCCCAATCCCCAACGTCAAAATCGACATCTGGGAAACAGACTCCACAGGCCACTACGACGTGCAGTACCCTGGCCGCGACAAGCCCGACGGTCGATGCTACATGCACAGCGGCGAGGACGGAGTTTTCTGGTTCAACGCGATCACACCAGTGCCGTATCCGATTCCGCACGACGGGCCTGTGGGCAAGTTATTGAAGAAGTTGCATCGGCATCCGTACCGGCCGTCGCACATGCATTTCATGTTTGAGAAGGAGGGGTATGATCATTTGATTACTGCGCTTTACTTAAGGAATGATCCATATGAGACGTCGGATGCGGTGTTTGGGGTGAAGAATTCGTTGGTTGTTGATATTGGGCGGGCGGGGCCGGAGTATGCGAGGAAGTATGGGGTTGCTGAGGATCATGCGTTGTTGACGTATGATTTTGTGTTGGTTTCTGATACCGAGACTGGGGATTTAAGGGCGAGGAATTCGAAGGAGGCGTTGGATAAGTTGGGTAGGAAGGTTAAGATTGTCAATGGGTTGCCTGTGCCGGATTTGGATTAAGCTTCGTTTTGTATAGTAGTTCAAACAACAATGGTATCTTCAGCATTTTCCACGAAGAGTAATCGTTGTCAAGTAGCATAAGTCGCATACAATAGCAAAAGACCTCCATTTTACAACTGTTGTGCACTTTACAAGTAATGAATACTGCCTATCACTACCTGGCGAGGTTTAGACCGATGTTAATTGAAAATTCACATAGAAGCTAAAACAAGAATAAATCCTTCCATGGGGTCTATTGTGCTTCTTATCAAAGACAAATAGTTGGCTGTAACTAATACTTGGAAAAGCCGAGGCAATGACAGGTCATAGAGAATTTACAAAGAGCAAATCTCAGGAGGTTTCTTGTGAAAAGAGATATAACTTCTTAGCCTTACTTACATATGATATTAGTCTGGCCAAAACTGAACTCCAACACTTCGCCAGAGGGTGTAAGACAAACAATCCTTCCTGTACAATCCAAACCGCAGAGGGTACAGAGGAGATTGAGCCACCCCCAATCAAAGGTGCCACACGCTGGCTAGGAATCTGGTTTGACCGGAAACTAAATTTCAAAACACACACCTGTACAATAGCAGGCAAGGCCAAGCTGGCAGCTGGTGGCATCCAAGCCCTGGTCAACACTGTAAGAGGAATCAGAGCCCCACTACTGCGGCAAGCAACAATAGCCTGTGTTACCTCAGTTTTATGCTATGGAGCGGAGGCATGGTGGCCAGGACAGCAAAGAACAAGGCAAGACAGGTCAGGCAGATGTGAGCTCATCTCCAACAGAGTGATATCCCAGATAGCCTGCCTAGACTGGATACTCAGGAGTGCACTCCTAGGAACCCTCCCAGTCTATAAAACCACTCAAACAGCTGCACTACATCGAGAGTCAGCCATACCACCCATGGAAATACTCCTGGATCAGAGACGCCGAGCACTAACAGTCAGAGTCCACAAACTTGACACTAGACACCCATTATACCGCCGGGCCATGCACCAGAGAAGCATTCACATTAACATCCGCCTACTCTAAGCCATTGACCCAACAAACTTCCATCTCTTTGAACAGATAGACCCGCTGCATACAAGCCCCTGGGACTCAAATCTGGCATTCAAAGTACAGCCAACTGCGATCCCCAAGGCACAGTCCAGAGAGGAATTCCAGAGATGGCTCAGCTCCATCTCACAGCCATCAATGGTGGTCTACACAGACGGATCCAAAGAAAAGGAGTGCGCAGCTGCAGGTACAGGCTGGGTGGGCTACTGGGGCATCAGCAAGATTAAGGTTTTCTATGGACACACAAAGCTCCGACTCCCCAATCAGGAAGTCTTTGATGCAGAAACCAGAGCTGCCCTGCAGGGCCTGCATGCTGCCCTCAAGAACCCCAGAGCCAAGCATACCATAGACATAAACATCTGTCTGGACAACCTGGAAGCAGTACAGCAACTCCAAGGCCAGCCCACAGGATCAAGTCAGTCAGTATTCAGGAGTTTCCAAGAAGCTGCCCAAACATGGCCAAACCGCATCAGAGCACCAGGCGTACAGGAAGGCAGGGTGCATGTGAAATGGGTCCCTGGGCATACAGGCATTGAAGGCAATGAAGAAGCCGACAAAGAAGCCAAGATGGGCCGCCATGGGCCCCTGAATCTCCCTATAGCACCTGCGTCAATAGCAGCTGCCAGGCGAATAGCGCAGAGGATGCACTGGCATGCCTTTGCACAGTTCTGGGCAGAAAAGGCCCCCAAACGATACAAGGACCTCAGAATAGGCCTGGAGAAGCGCCCCCCAGAGCTCCTCCTTCCACGAGCAGCCCTGGGTCGCCTCCTTGCCGCTAGGAGCGGACATGGTGACTTTGCAGAGTACCATGAGCGCTTTAAACATGACGACGCCCTGCTGACATGCTCATGCGGCCGCAGAAAGGAGCCATCCCATTTCTATCATTGCAGGGAGGGCCGCAAAGCAGCAGCACATTCATGGGGCCGCCAGCCTGTGACTGATATCCTCCGCACAAAGGCAGGATTCACTGCGTATGTAGGCTGGCTGGGAAAATCCAAGTTCTACACAGACATCTGCCGACGCCATTAGGCCATCAAAACTCGTCAAATCCAGGGACATCCAGGCTTACCTCTGGTCTCCCTTCCTCTATCTCTTCCCTTTATTTCCCCTTTTATTGTACTCCTTCCCTGCCCTTCTTGCTCGCGTTCATGCTTTTTTGTTGCAAACCAATACGCGCAATTTGATGTTTTGACAGTCATGAAAACCCAAGCAGCCCCCCGCGCGGGGGGCTACCTGTATATAGATGATAGATGATAGTTTAGCTAGGTGACAGGCAGTCTCGATCTGCCCGTCGTATGTCCCGCACCAGGACCAGGACTTTTCCGCTTCCGAGGTTCCCAAGGATGCGTGGAAAGACCCGAACCTCGACGTAAAATAGACACACACACACACTTGCCCACTCAAACATTCTACTGCACACGTGAGACACGCTAGTCATACGCGAATGGCTTACCTATCGTACTCTGGTCTGTCTTTGCATCTATGCAACAAGAGCTGCTGGCGATGCTTTAGCTTTGACAAATGAGTATGGCGGCCATTCGCAAAACGAGCGAATCGACATATAATTTTCTTGAATCTAGAGATCATACTCTAGATGATATTGAAAACCTTTGTTCTCTCAATAACAGACAGCATTCCTGTTCCCGAGCTACATGCTGGGAAGTTTGGAGCAACTCCCTCTGGAACTCATTAACATGGTGCTTATACAGCTCGAAATACAGTCACTGACAGACTTCCAACGCGTCAATAAACGAGCTATGCAAGTAGTAGACTCGATTCCACAATACAAAAAGATCATCCTCCATGCCCCTGCCTCAATCCGGGGGAGCCTCAGCATCAGCACTGGCAGTTTGTTTTCTTGTCAGGAACTGTACGAGAAGCTCTGTACGGCGGAGTGCGACAGCTGCGGTGACTTGGGTGGATACCTGTACTTGGTTACATGCCGCCGCATTTGTTTTCTCTGCTTCACCAAGAAGACCGAGTACCTCCCACTACTACAGGCGGACACGATACGGAAGTTTAGACTTCGCCGTGAGGATATAGCAACTTTACCTTCTATGAATAGTGTCCCCGGCCGCTATTCACCACGAGAGATCAAATGCCGTACTCAGCTTACCTTAATCGATCATGACGCTGCGCGACAAGCTGGAATTACTGTGCACGGGAACATCAATGCAATGGAGCAATATGCCTTGGAAATGACATCTAAAAAACTGGAGCAATACCAGTCTCGAAAATCAATACACATAGCAGATTGCCCGAATCTGCGTCGACCCAGATCTGAAGACATTTTTGATGGGCATTCACCTAATCTCAAACGCTTCTTGGGAATTATCCGTGCGCCATTTCTTAATGCTCGTACAGGGTCTCTGGAATGGGTCTTCCATTGTGCCGCATGCAAACCCCATCATTATAACAGACCGCTCCATTGGCGCCGAAGGTATACAAGGAAGAGTTTCGAAGATCATATTAGGGAGTGTGGAGAGATTATACATGGGAAGCACAACCAACGCGTGAGATGAAAAGAATAAGCAATGAGGATACGAAATATAATGGAAGGCAATTGCCCTGTGTCAGGTGATAGAAGATAACCGTCGGTAGAAATAAAAGAAACCAACATCAACCTTCCTTCACCCAGGTATCTATGGATACTAGGTGTCCCTTCCGTCCGTTCTCCTTTACTGAGCCTCAGTTGATGGATATCAAAGATGGAAATCATTCCCATACAACCCAACACCGCCAATTCCAAGGGAGAGAATCAAAAGCCCAGCACTACGAAGCCTCCTATTCTCTTTTCATATAACTTAGGTATGCACTATTTATGCCAGCACAGTTTATCTCCTTTTGGGTCTGGTGTACTAATTCAATAGGAGTTGAACGATTTTTAAAATATCAAGGTGTTGGATACAAACCATCTTCTCCATTTTGCCTGTGGCTATCTTTTCAGTACCATGATTTATCAACAGGATTGGTGGGGGTCTCACCTTCTTTCTTCAATGCCGATGTGTCACTGCAGCAGAAGTTGAAGGGTCTTGTACCCTGAGATGATTGGCAACATCTTGAAGAGAAGTATGACTTCGGATTTCTTAACCAAATATTGTAGTCAGGGATCCAGTCCCTGGCTCATTGGATCTCTCCATCCCTTTCAAATGTCTTGTACACTAGCACCTGGGTGGCCAACGTGGTGGCTAGATTCCTTTCTTAGACATTTTCTTTGTATATACAACCAAATACAGTTAAACAGCCAGTTTATGCGCGGTTGCCGTTCTCCTTTTCTTTTACTTATTCCCTACTATTCTATGTATTCTCGCTGTCGTACTTATTCCCTATAGCTATATTAATACCTCTTGCCGCCTTTGTACGACTCTTTCTTTTCATGTCCTTCCTGCCCTTATCCTCTTTAAGATGCGTACCACACTTGAGATTGTTGGCGACAACGGAAGAATTCCTCAACAATGTTCTAATAAGAGAAATTACGAAAATTGAAACAGCCTGAAAGACACCAGACCATCGATTCTTCGTTATCAAGAGAGTGGATAGAAACGGCAACTGTGGATTGAGTCAGTGGAACCACCTCAGCAACTATCGTACAACATTTCTGCGGAAGCCTCGAGACCTTCCCTTTCCGTTTTCGGCCCGACTCAGCGCCGCTTTTTGCTCCCTGAGCAGCCCGGAGCGTACGGGGAGCAGGGCAGTGCGTGTCCGGAGCGATCAGGGAACGGCGCCGGAGCGATCCCGGAGCGATTCGGGAGTAGTCCCTGATCACTCGGACTCAAGACCGCCGCACCCGACAAGGAGTCAAATAAAACGCGCAAAGCCAAGCCTGCAATCTCACCTCACGAAACCGACCCCTCTGATTTAGTGGTAATCAAATAGTTAGGGCACAAGGAAACGCAATATACTTTTTCTGATAGCCCTAATGTCGCAGCGTTAGTGATTGCATTATCTGACAAGATTGTAGGCGCTGATATGACTCGAATTCTTTCAACCGGTAATATCAAATAATACGATGCATATCTATATATATGTACTGTAAATAACGGACTCAGGGCAGGCGTTTTGAATGGGTTGAAGGATTTACTGCTATGGAGTCTCGGTGTGCACCTTGATAAGGAAGAGAATTGGATATAATTAGAAGAGTTATATGCCTGAAGAATAATGTACAGCTGTAATGATGACTCCCCCAGCCCTGTTACAATTACAAGTCACTATCTCTTGGATCCCAATATCCCCAACGCGCCTGCCACTGCTGGATCAATACTCCCCTTACACCTGTGCGCTCAAGTCGTGCCACATCCCACATAATGTATCCCCAGAAGCGGAGGTCACCACTGATATGACTTCATCCAGGGTAAGTGTCCTCCGCTGGGATAAAGAGCGGCGGCGATCCTGGTATAGCCCAAGGAACTGAGTGATTGTCTTCAGTGCGTGTTTTTGAAAATTCGACCCAAGTTGGACTGATGAACGGCACAGGCATCAGTTGTTGTAAGACTGTCCAAATTCGCTTCCAGACATTACAGAGCAGACGCTGGCGATCTAGAAGATACTGCTGGTGGTAAACTGGAGATTCGTGTACCAGGACCTTGAGTTCATAATATTCAAGGGTAAAAAGGACGTGGCGCCAGATTTCAGCCCCCGGGGGGGGTTCTAACGGTGCCTCAATACGAACTAACTCTGCCGGTTATTCCTCTGGCAAGGGATCTTGCACAGAAGGATCAGATTAAATGACATTCTGGGTTGGAACGACGTCAGGAGTTGCCGTGGACTTGTGTTCTGACCTACGCGACTTAAAAAAACGCTTGATTAAATGCCCAACTCTCTTAAAAGCCATTGACCAGTGAGTACTCCCAGGGATAACGAAAGATGAGAATCGATGGTAGCAGTTGACGTAGCAGTTGACAGCTGGATAGCAAGTGCTGAGGTCACGTGGCCCAATATCCAACCCGGATGTGAAACGGATAAACCAATGTAGCGGTTAAAACTCCGTATCGGGGAAGTCGGGGGAGTCGATTATCCGGACTGCACGAGGCTGTAGGCGACGAATTTAATTACACTGAGGATAACATTGATCTCTATAGACACCAAGATGATAGAATGAGTGCTTGGCTATCTAAACCGAGTGTGTGTGTCCGTATATGAGGGGTCTGTCGGCCTCGGTGATCGGACCAACTATTAATCCACCTTGACTTTCATCAGGATGCTAGTTGGGCGTTTGATGAGGCATTTTCTGGCTTCTCTCGTATGTATGCACGGAGTACGGACGGAGTACGAAATATGAGCTCCGGCTTCAGAATATTGTATCTGAGTCAGTTTTGCCTGTGGATTAGATTCAGACTCATTGTACTGTTATATATTTCATTTGCAGAGCGTTCGCTAGAGTTAAGATTATACATTTGGTATCACATCACATTCAAGCCAAAACATTGTCGTTATCATTCGCGCCATCCACCATATCCCCGAAATCACTTCCATCCACCTGCTCGGGCACTTGCTTTTCATTTCCTTGACCTCCTTCACGTATCCCTCGCACTCCCTCATCATCTTCAATCCACCCTGCCGCCTTCTCCATTCCTTCAATGTACTCCGTACCGACCCGCAAATTCAAACCTGCACTGAGAGCTCGTTCAATCTTTACCTCGCGCGTCTGCGACACCAAGACCCGGAAGACACGCCCCAGGAACCCGCTCATGATCTCGACGCTCCAATCATCAGGGACGAGTTCTAGTACCTCCCGCACATCGAACCAGGAGGAGAATCGGGATAGCAGATCAGTCGTCCGTTCGAGGCAGTCGGTTGGATCTTCAATTCGCAGAAACTCGTCCAGGAGATGGCGGAATAGCTCGGTTTGTAATGGTCGTTCCGCGAATTCTGTCAGTGCCCCTGTAGAACTGGTGCTACGGGGTCCTCCGAAAAGACAATATCGAACGGCTGAGTCATAATCGCCTAGGCCGTGCGTTAGAAGTCGGAGGGCTTCCCGGTGACGTCCCTGGAGGCCATCCAGGATGATACTTTCCGATACTAATTCATCCTGGAAAGGCTCGATACGAGCAAGAACGGCGGGAATGGAATAGGAAAGACTGGATGGTGCGGGTGACATAGAGGAGAATTGGGTGCTGCTTCCACCACCAAGAAGCTGCAGGAGCCGCAGTCTCGTTTGCCACCATGGCTCGGATGGTATGTTGGCCGTGATAAAGCTCATGTACGTTGGCTTAGGGGGACGTAGTGCACGATATGTCGAATAGGACTCGGAAAGCGATTCTCGAGCCTCAGGCGAAGACTGAAGAACAGAAAGCACTGTATCCAAATAGTACGAAACAAGGTCGTCCGCGTATTGCGAGTACTGAGGTAATTTTCAGTAAACTGCTGCCATTCTCATGTGAGTAAGGCAAACTTACTTTCTTGGAGAAAACGAGATGCTCCAAGTACGCCTGGACTGCATTCGGCGCCTGCTCTTTGAGCATTCCAACCACATCTGCAGGCTCCAGTTTGACTCTGCTCGTGCCGTCTGCGAAGACCTGGATACCAAGCTTAGGGTTACGTCCAGCCAGCCAAGAACCGTACTCTTCCACCAATTGTGCGTCTTTGATCTTGACCAAATATCGGCGCATTTGCAGTTCAGCGCCAGATGGTGTCATTTCTCCCCCGACATCTTGCTCCCCTTCTATGATCCTACGCCACGTCTTGAGCACATTTCGGGACATTTTCTGACTCTGGTATAGGCGGCTCAAAATGAAGAGCCGGTGGTAGGTCTCTAACAAGGTCACCGCACGGTCAAAGTTACCCTTCCAATTGTCCACCAATCGATTAAGTTCCGCGCGAATGGGAGACGATGGTCGTTGTTCTGCCGTCAAACCCGAATCCTGTTCCAAAAGCAGATGTAGAAGTGCGGCATCGACGCTGTCAAAGACATATGTCTCATCCGTGATGCTGCCGTAACCCCTCTTCTGCTGCCATGATAATAGAAAACGTTTAACCATCTCCAGCACACTGCTATCAGCCGCACCAGTCGTTGAGTTATCTTCGGTCTCTTTAGACTGCCGTATGTATTTGTCTGCAATCGCTGCCAGGCCTGCTTGGATCCATATTCCCTGGGGTCCCTGCAAAACTTCCTTCCGTAGTAATGGAATCAATATCAAAGCCATACGAGGATCTAAATTTCCATCCACGAGTGCTTTTTCTGTTGCCTTAATGACAGTGTCACTCCTGCTTTCCTGGTCCATGAAGACAAGATCCCCAAATAGCATCAGACTCGCCTTTTGTTTCACATAGCTTAGACCAAGAAAGTCGCCCTCGGACGCAGGCTCGATATTTTGGGCCGATTGAATGATGTCCATGATAGTATCCCTGTCCATGACTTGACGACTATCATCATCGGCCGCCTGCGCCTTTTGCAGGACATCATCCAGCTGGACGGTCAACGGGTTCCTCATTATCCGCCAGATGCGGCTCCCAGCCCACATAACAAGGCTACTTTCGCCCCTGCCGAGTCCACGGGCAAACCGGGCCTCTTCTGCATTGCGCTCGGCTTCCCAGTCGCGCTCTGATGAGCCATCACCTTTCTTTGACCCTTCGGGGTCTGTTAACTCTTGAGACTCAAATAACTCTTTCTCCTTTTGCAATTGCTCTATGGATGCTTGGGTTCTTGGGTCTGTTGCAGGAATATGGGGCAACAGTGACGGCGTTTTAAGGCGCACCATGCGCAGCAAGCCTCCCATCTCAGAGAGTTCAAGCTGGCTAGAACTGATTGTATGGCGAAGGCCAACCTGGACGGATTTCGAGTCTTGGTCCAAGGGTATCTCTACCCATCTCTTTTGTTTCTCGGCTTCGCTGGGGTCGATGTCCAACCGTTGCACTTCCAAATGTTTGCATAATTGCCCATCTTCGCCATATTCTAAGACAGCAATAATGCGTTCTTCTTTGCCATCTCCAACAGACTGGATAGGGTCATCTTTATCCCTTGCGTCAATGGCAACCGATTCAGGGTATCTGTCAAAGTTGATTGTGCTACGCTCCATATCACCGTCCATATTGACAAACATTCCAACACCAGGCTCCTTCTCTGCGGTTCCCGTGACCAGTAGGAATTCGTTGGCACTCGCGGACACCACATGCGGTTTCAGGCGCGTCGGTAGTGGTTTTGGCAAAGGTGGCAGTGGCTTCTTATCGGCAATGTTCGACTGTGGATCTTGTGGTGCATCTTCCGAATTTCCATCTCGATCCTGCGAGTTTGACCGCCGCGGTGTCTCAGAAGCCGGAGATGGCTCTGGCGTAACGGAGCTTGATCTATCCTGTAAAATCGACGGAGAGCCCAAACTCTGACCATGCTGGCCTTCCACAGGAGGAGAATTGGGGTTAGGCGATGACGGAGTCTTCGAAGGAACAGGTAGTGCCGTTGGCATCTCTTCTACATGGCCAGACTCGAAGATCTCGTTTGACGATGATATGGGGAACAGGGGTATCTTTTGTTGATGTTCCACTTCAAGCAACGAATAAGCATGAGTATCTGCGGCGCATGCAATTGACCCCCTTCGAGCTGCTACCAAGCATCCCGGGAATTCGATGTTCCTCATACGCCGAGCATCATCACCAATTTTGACCAGCATGATCCGGTTCTGGAGCGCAACCATAATCGCAGGTGGTTCGACGTCATCTGGCGCCCTATTCAGGTCAATACCACCAATCCAGCGACAGTTGTTGACTTTTGTATTTCCGAATGCCGGGCTGAGCTCCGGTAACAGATAAAATGTGAGCGTGCCATTGCAGAGTATACAGGCTTTGTTGACCGACGGAAGTAGGATTATCTGCTGAACACCTTGGCCGGTAGAAGGGGCAGAATTCTGGGAGTGAAAGATCGGCAATCGCGACGCGAGGATAAAGGATGATTCGCTCGACTTATCAGAGGGATCCGGTGGGAGACAGACGAAATGTAGAACTTCTGCGGCGGAGGTACCGATGTAGAGATTGTCATCTGTTTTGCATGGCAATTAATCGAACTGATCTCATATATCTCAAACAAAACAGGCTGAGAGCTTACTCCAGTATTCCACATAGGTAATATAAACGTCCGCATTGGGATCTTCGTTGGCTAAGGGCAAGTCGGCGAGCAGCTCTCGGAGGATGTACGGAGCCGCTTGGGGAGGAGTGATCCTCCTTCTCTTGCGGGGACTGACGGCATCATCTTCTGGTCTCATCATGAGCCCATTCCTGGCCGCTCAATTCCCTCGGGCTTCTCTGAAGCTTCGTAGGTGATATGTATAAGTAAACAAGTCGACGTTGTCCCTCCGCCAGCCAGCCATGGACGATGATGGATGTCACAAGTGGGTCAGTAGTGCTGAGTCAGCTTTAGCCATGTGATTGCATGCAGGTTGATATCAGTCGATGTCATTATTTGGATTTGATACTACTATCTGGAGAGGCTTGTGGGGTATTCAAACTGTGCTATATAATATAACAGTGCTCCCTATAAATTCGAGCGCAGGATGCTCCATATTTTGGCGCTTGGCAGGGGCATACAAGTACAAGAACAAACATTTGAGGATCTCCACGTCCAGCGCATATTGTAGCTGCCGTCTACAGGACATACGCTGTCAGCCCATCAACTTGTAAGATGTGAGACCCCTTTTCAGCCTTTTCGTCTCTTCTATATTAAGCCCGTATAGTTCCTCTGTTTCATACGAATTGCCTATTCTGGACAAAGGATCAAGCAGCTTACGCGGTCGGAATATCATCGGGCCGCTCCGCGTGTCCTCCGCATTGCGATAACCATCCAGTTTCACAGCCAGGGTGTCTTCAATCTATACAGCTTATTTTTTTACTTGGTTCTCTGCTCTTTCTGTGCTCGTGCGGGGGTGCTGGATTGATATCCGCTTGCTCTCAAGGAGAAGGAAATGGATACGTTCGCATTCACAGAAGGCATCGTCCCCGGATCGAACAACCAAGATGCCGAAAAGGACACCGGGAAACTCCCCGAGGGGGCCAACAAGTTCCAGCGTGCCATTGCAGCCTGGCGAGGTATGAGAAGAGATTGCTATACCCATTATTGGGCCGCTGAGCATAGGGCTGACATATGGGATATCAACTAGGCATTGATCTAGCCAGCACTATCGCGAAATTAGACGGCACCGCTTCGGACATTGTCGCACAGCAACGTGATTCCCTCGTCCAAAGAAAGGACCTCGCCCAAAAGACAAAGGACTTCAAGAAGCTTGATGACGCGTCAAAGCTAGCTGAACACAAGAGTCTCTTGAAAGGTTGGCGGTGTTCCCGTCCAAAAGTTTGGGTCCGGAGAGGCTAACAGGATCTTGACAGCCTACCAGGGGTTTATCGACGTCTTGACCAACCAAGGCAAATCTTCGTCCTCCGCATTCCTACAGTTATACTCTTCGCTATCGGAAGCGCCTGACCCATACCCACTTCTCGAGGCCTCGGTGGATTCGCTTGTTGTGTCGGAAGAAACGGTTCCAAAATTGACATCGGAGAAGGAGCAATTGCAGAGCTCTGTGGACCGCTTAACGTCGCAGCTGGATAATACGGAGAAGCGACTGCAAGAAGAACGGGCCGCGCGCAAGAAACTGGAAGAGAACCAAGACGCTAGGATAAAGGAGATCGAATCATCGTGGTCAGCCGTGTTGACGGAAAAGACAAATAATTGGGCAGCGAAAGAGAAGAGCTTGGAGGAGAAGGTGGAAAACCAGGAACATTTGTTGAAGGAAGTCAAAGCAAGCTATGAGGTATCGCAGCGTTTAGACCAGGACGATGGTGGTGACGCTTCTCGAAACGGCGCTACCGCAGCCGAATTGGAGCTCGTATCTACCGACTTGGAGAAAACTAGTCTGCGATTGGCAGAAGTGGAAGCTCGGAATGAGCAACTGAGATTTGAGCTGGCTCAGGCCGTATCGCATCCGCAGCCAGAGCAGACGTCTGTTGAGGACGACCCGTCATATCTTCGCCTGCAGTCGGAGAATTCCTCCTTGCTTCGGAAGCTGGATGCAGCCCGGTTCGATCGAGACTCTGAACGTCATTCATGGGAGACCAAGGTTTCGCAATCCGAGAGACAAAGCTCGAAGGCGGCTGCTGAGAAGGAAGAGCTGCGGTCGAGGTTGGAGAAGATGGTTGACTACGAAGACATTCGTCGTGAACTTGAAATGATCAAGGTATGGGTCTCATGTTCTTCTAGTGCAGTGTACCTGCTAACAATATGGACAGTCTATCGAATTTGCCGCGGGTGATGATGACGATACGGCAGACCTTGAAAACGATACCGTCGACGCTGCATCCAATGGCGCTGCATCGAAGAAGAAAGATGGCAACAAGAACAATAGCCTGGAGCAACTGCTGATGGCCAGGAACAAAAAGCTGACAGATGAACTTACCATCCTGAGGGTATCTCATCGTGATCTTCAGGGTCAGCTTGAAACACTGCGCAATGATCTCTCTAGCACGAAACAAGAGCTGGATAAATCGCAAAGCCTTTCGACAACCCTTGAGAATGATCTTTTACGAATGCAACAAGAAGCAGCTAATGCTTTCCCGACTTCGGCAATGTCTGTGGCCGGTACCTACACATCAAAACATCCTCGCTCATCGCGGAGAGGAGAAACATCACCAACATCGTCGATCATTTCAGGATTTGATCAGACTATGACATCCTCCAACACAATGGACTCCTTGCGCGCTGGAGAGCCTGTTGGAGGGGGCTCCGGCATTTTGCCTATGATTCAAGCCCAGCGAGACCGTTTCAAGAAGAAGAATTCGGAGCTTGAGGAAGAACTGTCGAAGATGTACGATACGGTGAAATCCCTGAGACAGGAGATTGCTTCTCTCCAGCGAGACAACCTCAGTCTCTATGAAAAGACGCGGTATGTATCCGCGTATAGCCGGGGTCATGGAGCATCATCCTCCGTTTCTGCTTACGGCAATAAACCGAACACTACCTCTGTTCATCTCTCACCAGACACGCCATCGGGGCTGTCTCTCGACCGATACCAATCTGCCTACGAGGCACAAATCTCTCCATTTGCCGCATTCCGGGGTCGAGAATCAGCACGGGCATATAAACGCATGAGTCTCCCGGAACGGATTGTCTTTTCTCTCACCCGCATCATCCTTGCCAATCGGACGAGCCGAAACCTCTTTGCAGGGTACTGCTTCGCTCTCCACATTCTCCTCTTCGTAATGCTGTATATGATGAGCACAGTCGAGATTGAGAAACATAGCACCTCCAGTCTGGGCGCAGCAGCCGCAATGGCCGGGACCGCTGCTGGCTCTGATGGTAGTAGTGGTTATGCTGCTGGGGGTCAGTTACGGGGTGACGATTGGCAGCCCGAGGGATTCAATGGTGCATGATCCTTGCGCGTTTTCTGTACGATGTACTGTCGGTGTTTGATGTGCTTCTTTTACTGTCGCCTGAGTTAGCCGTGGATTTTATATCTACGGATACTCTTTGCTTTAGGCGACATCGGCGTTTGATGGTGAATTGGGTCCGGGTTCGTGATGCTTACTTTTTAGCCCTTGTAGTTTTAGATATATCCCAGACAATATAGATTCACTTCCTGCCATACCAATCCGCCCCTCCTTCTTCCCCTTCCACTTTTAATATAACCAGTACTGTCTTACAACGCTCTTGAGTCAAGCAGAAATCAAAAATATAGAGCAAAAAAAGTTCCCAAAAAAAAAGAAACGGCCCGAGCCGCGGATCGAACGCGGGACCTCTCGCAGATATGCTTGGGTTATTTCCCTAAGCGAGAATCATACCACTAGACCACCCGGGCTGTTATGTGATTGCCGATTTATTTTGGGTTATATAAGACACAATTTTTTGGTAACAAATGTCGCTTCCTTCATGTCTACATTATTGGTCACTCCAACGAGAATATATCAACTATACTCTGTAAATATCTAGCGGTATGTATTATGGCCAAAAGGTCGTTTCAGTTGGCGCCCGAGTAACCTCGACTGTTTCTCCATGTCCCAAAATAGATCGGCATTGGCTGTCTTCATCTTGTAATCTGCAACATTCTGCACCACATGCAGCACTGAAAAAAGAAAACGAACAAATGGGACAGAGACCCGGTGCCTCTTGCAGTTCTTCACACTAGCCGATTCTGGCAATCAGATTAGCCGCTGACCACGATGTAAGACAACGCATTGAAGCTGAGATATATTTAGGCGCCGGGGTGTTCAGGGAACCCCCTGATTGGACATCGGCCTTGAATAGGGCTGAATCGATCGAGCAAATCCTATCCCTGGTCGGTATCGGAAGTCTGCAGAGTTTCGTCTGGCGCATGGTCCTTCCAGGCGCTTAACTTTTCGCCAATGAGAGGGCACCATCCCACCTTCATCATTATGGGCGGCTGCAGGAAGCCTTTTTACCTGAGGCTGGTGGTAGACTCGTGATTTGGATTCTATGTCGGTCTAATTTGCAAGTTTCTATTCTTGCCATGGGGCCCTTGTGGTGGGGGCTGGTATGGTGCTGACATGCTGGGTATATATATCCATCCAGGGTCGCCGGGTTTGGATGGGATCGTCACTTCTTCCCTGTCTATTTCCTAACTTTACATGTTGCCTTTCCTCTCATGCGCAGTTAAGCCATCGATTGCTTTTGACTTCCGCGAGTTTGCTTCGCCTATACCTCCGAAGCAAGTTTTACCTAGCTGCATGAACAAAGCCATTGGGTGATCCAACGTTCATCCTACGAGGCAAATATCAATTCTCAAGCACGCACCGGTCATTAAGTCACGACATATCTTCTCAATAAATATTTCGACATGCATCCCACTCTTTTTCTCAGTGCCAGCCTGGCAACGAGCTCCATTGCCGCACCAACGCTCCTACGCGGGCTAACGAATGTCCTGAGCACACTCACTGAACCAATTCAAGATATAAAGCAACTACTCGACACATCAACTACATGCGATACATCCCGAATCTCGCTACCAACATCAGGATCCGATCTGCCCGTTCCTGATGGCCAGACGCCCATTTATGTTGCAGTCGGACGTGGTACACAGGTAAGCAAGGAATATCCTCCCCGAAACTCTATGAGACTAGAGAGCTGACACCAGAACCAGAACTATAGCTGCTCAACATCTACCTCCGACTCGACCCCCGAAGCCATAGGAGCCGTGGCAAACCTCTACAATGTTACTTGCATCGCAGCAAGTGACCCGGACATGGTTGCCACACTCCCGAACACGGCCTACAAAATACAGTCCATCAATAACTATTCCTCTATCCTTCGTGCTGCAAGTGTCGATCTGCTGGGTCATCACTTCTTCCAAGGTTCGACACCAGTTTTCAACCTTGACACCACGCCGTCGCAGCAGTACGGGATCGCATTCACCAAAGTGCAAAAGAAAGTAGACGCACCATCCGACTCGGTGCAGGGTGATAATGGGGCCGTAGAGTGGCTTTATCTATCGACTATAAGTGGCACCGTTGGAGACTATAAGAGCGTCTATCGGGTGAATACGGCCGGAGGAGCAGCGCCCAAGACATGTGAGAATATGCCGTCGGTTATTGAAGTTCAGTATGCGGCAAATTATTATTTCTATGGGGAAGGATCGTGAGGGTTAGCCTTTATATGGGGGGGTTTGTACATAGATTAACATGAACTTGATTGGACCTTGTTACTTTAAAATAAGTTCCTGGAGAGCCCAGCCGGAAGGCCATCCAACGCAACCCCTCCATTTCCCAACCCAATCTTTACTATACTAGTATAAGAATAGAAGCATTATAGTCATTGGTGATCTCGTCCTTACCGTTCAATGTAACTGAACCTCTTCCTCGAGACCAATGAGAGCAGGGCTTGACTAGATCATGTGACCTCGCTATAGTTTCGGACAAGCACACGTGATTACCACGTGCCCACACCACTTCGGAAATGCGCTATTCTTGATGCAGCCTAGCGCGTTCTGATTTTCGAAAGATCCAAAGGCTCCGTCTGAAAATTCTCGACCGCAACAACGACGAGCAGCACGGCGTTGACCGAGTTCTGAAAGCTATTGCAGGTGCGATTTCTTGCGCGAATTGCTTATTCTGTCCATTTGACACCTGCGACTCTCGATTCTTATCGTTTCCGACTCGCTTTTTGCGTTTTTTATCGCCTATCTTTTCTCTTCGAAATTTTCTGCAGAGCTCTTCCCGGTTGTCTACCAACTAGATTGCTTGCGAAAAAGCGATCCGATACCTTCAATCAAACCAACTAAACCTCGAAATCATAATATACAATGGCTTTCGCTCCTAGAGGACGTGGTGGTGGTCGTGGTGCCCCCCGTGGTGGTGGTGGTGCTCGCGGTGGCCGAGGTTAGTATACCAATCTCAACGGCATAAAAGGCCAATCAATCCATCGCTCGGACAATGCTATATCCCTGTGATGTTCATCTGAGGGAAACAGAGTTGCTAACTCATTGCGTCTTCAGGCGGCTTTGCTCCTCGTGGCCGTGGTGGACCCCCTCGCGGTGGCGGCCGTGGTGCTCCCCGTGGCGGCCGTGGTGCTCCCCGTGGTCGTGGTGCTCCCAGGGGCGGTGCTAGAGGTGGTGCTAAGGTCATCGTCGTAAGTACTTGTTGAAAGTGTTCGAATTTGACGTGCGAAACCAACTGACAAATCTGTTACCTAGGAACCTCACCGTCACGGTGGTATCTTCGTTGCCCGCGGTGGTAAGGAAGACTTGCTCGTTACCAAGAACCTGACTCCCGGAGAGGCTGTCTACGGTGAGAAGCGCATTGCCGTCGAGACTCCTGCCGACGACGGTGCTGTCACCAAGACTGAGTACCGTGTGTGGAACCCCTTCCGTAGCAAGCTTGCTGCCGGTGTTCTTGGTGGTCTGGACGAGATCTACATGCGCCCTGGCGCTAAGGTTCTCTACCTTGGTTCCGCCAGCGGTACCTCCGTCAGTCACGTCGCCGATATTGTCGGACCTACCGGAAACGTCTATGCCGTTGAGTTTTCCCACCGTTCCGGCCGTGACCTGATTGGCATGGCCACCCACCGTACCAACGTCATCCCCATCGTCGAGGACGCCAGACACCCTCTCCGCTACCGTATGCTCGTCCCCATGGTCGACTGCATCTTCGCCGACGTTGCCCAGCCCGACCAGGCCCGTATTGTTGGTCTCAACGCCCACATGTTCCTCAAGGAAGAGGGTGGTGTCATTGTCTCCGTCAAGGCCAACTGTATCGACAGTACTGCTCAGCCCGAGGTTGTTTTCGCTCGGGAGGTCCAGAAGATGAGAGAGGAGAGAATAAAGCCCAGGGAGCAGCTTACCCTTGAGCCTTTCGAACGTGACCACTGTATAGTGTCTGGTATCTACAAGCGTTCTGCATAAAAGTGGTGATTTAATTCCGGTTTCTTATCTTTTCTCTTGTCATGTCTAATCATTTCATGCTCTTTGTCTTGTCTTTTTTATATCTGGCGTCGAATGTTTTGTGATATGCTGAAATGTTTTCCTATATTTTTCGTTTTTGGCTGTATGTTGAGGTGTTCTACACATGTACTTCTTTCTGGTATTTTAAAAAGAATGTACACGTCTGGAAACGTTGCTTAGTTTCAATCTGGACTATGTTGCAATATAAATGGTTTGCTGCCTTGCAACTCATTGGCTTAGGAACTCTTCTAAGAAACCGATTAAACTTCCGTCTCTCGGAGCTTCGCCGTCCTGAACCCATGGTCACCTCGGAATATCTGCGTGCATGTCACTTCAGCATGATAACATCCAGGAAACAATCCGAGATAGACACTGTTTACGAGAGGAAAAGATGCTCTCTCCTCCGCTCGACCCCGCAAAGAAGTTCCCGGGGGATAATGGCATGCCCGAGGACCAAGTGTATATAAGATTGCCATTGATCATATGAAATTGCCGAATTTCAGATATTTGACATTCTCTTTTCTCTCCCTGTGCCTGCAGTCGACTTATCTCGCTATCTTTTACCTCAGGGACGAAGGTGTGTTTTTACTACTACACTACAGCCAACCATGTCGATACTTATTACCGGAGCCAGCGGCTACGTCGGCCAGGAATTGGCTGCTTCGCTTCTTTCAAGTTTACCTGATGCATCAGTGATCTTGACAGATGTGGTGGCACCCAGTTTACCGGCATCTGCTGCTCAATATGCCTCCCGTGTGAAGAGCGTCCAGGCCGATCTCACATCGACCAAAGTGGTCGACGAATTGATCAACGAGAGCAACCGATTCGATACCGTTTACCTTCTCCACGGAATCATGTCCAGTGGCTCCGAGGCGAATTTCGAGCTGGGAATCCGTGTCAACCTAGATGCAACACGGTATATCCTGGATAGACTCCGCACTACGATGGCCGGTGTTAAGGTGGTGTTTACGTCCTCCCTGGCTGTATATGGCCGCGCACCTCCGGGCCTGGTTATCGACGAGACCAACTTCCCTCCCGTGCCGTCTTCTTCCTATGGATCGCAGAAGCTGATCGTGGAAACCTTACTGAACGACTACTCGAGACGAGGATTCTTGGATGGCCGGGCTGTTCGATTGCCAACGGTGACGGTGCGAGCTGGGAAGCCTACCCAGGCCGCTAGCAGCTTTGCCAGCGATATCATCCGGGAACCGTTCAATGGGAAGAAGGCTGTCTTGCCAGTCGACAAAGCGGTTGAGATGTGGATCTGTTCGCCGTACACGGTCGTCAAGAACCTGCTGCATGCTCGGACGATTCCAAAGGAGGCATTCGGGGAGTCGAGATCGGTCAATCTTCCCGGATTGAAGGTCAGTATCCAGGAGATGCTGGATGCGCTGGAGCAAATCGGGGGACCGGAACGAAGGGGGTTGGTGGAGGAGAAGTACGATGCAGATATCGATCGGATCGTTCAGACGTGGACTCCTGATTTTGAGACGGCGCGTGCGTTGAAGCTGGGGTTCTCGGAGGATATTTCCATGGTCGAAAATATTCGGCAGTATGCGGCTTTACTTGCTTAGCGATGTCGTCCTGTGTTTTCTGAGTCTATTAAATCTCTGTCAGCATTTATAAGCCCAATTGGAGGAATATGACTGGAATTAGTTACCTTGGGCCGTATTTTGTAGTCCCGACGAAAACAGACCATTCCGGCCGTGAGCCCGAAAGTTGATGATTAAGGTCATGGTCCTGGCTGAGAAACGATAGCCCCAGCACTGGTCGCCACCTCGTCCAACATTATTCAGATCGTCCTTTCTCGTGGTCTGTAAGCCGTAGAATACACCACTGTTGTTCCCTTTCGCCGTAGGAAACGTTCGGGATCGAATGGGCAGGTTTGGAAAAGCGGGTCATGTGATTGGCTGGACGAGTTGGCGAACAATTTGACTTCCGAACCTCAACCTCACCGTCGCTGCACCTCTACCATCATCCCTCCCTTCCTCCTCCCCGTTTTTCCTTTGGATTTATTCTCCATACACGGGTCACAATGGCTTCCCGCCGTCTAGCATACAGCTTCCAACAGGCTCTCCGGAGTCGCCAGGCTATTAACGCCATCAAGCCGGTGCGACGGGGTTTTGCTTCGCCGGTTTCCCTGCCCTCCACCACCCAGTCCACCACTCTCTCCAACGGCTTCACGGTACGCGATTATAGCCCTCGAGATTGTTTCCAATTGCTTCGCCGGTGTGCTAATGAGAGGTACTAGATTGCGACTGAGCACTCGCCATGGGCTCAGACCTCGACCGTTGGTGTGTGGATCGATGCCGGTAGCCGGGCAGAGACCGACAAGACGAACGGAACCGCGCACTTCCTTGAGCACCTTGCTTTCAAGGTACGGAAATATTGCGGATATTCATGGTATGCAGGCTTGCTGACAATGGGCTAGGGTACCAACAAGAGATCCCAGCACCAATTGGAGCTCGAGATTGAGAACATGGGTGCGCACCTTAACGCCTACACATCGGTACGAGTCGGGAAGAAGATACAGTGGAAGAAGCACACTAATGGCTTTCCTTAGCGAGAAAACACCGTCTACTACGCCAAGTCTTTCAACAGCGACGTCCCCAAGTCCGTCGACATCCTCGCAGACATTCTCCAGAACTCGAAGTTGGAGCCCGGTGCCATTGAGCGTGAGAGGGATGTTATTCTGCGTGAACAGGAGGAGGTTGACAAGCAGCTCGAGGAGGTTGTCTTCGACCACCTCCACGCCACCGCTTTCCAGGGCCAGCCCCTTGGTCGTACCATCCTCGGTCCCAAGGAGAACATCCAGACCATCTCCCGGGACAGCTTGGTTGACTACATCAAGACCAACTACACCGCTGACCGCATGGTCCTCGTCGGCGCTGGTGGTGTCCCCCACGAGCAGCTCGTCAGACTTGCCGAGGAGCACTTCGGTGGCCTCCCCAACAAGCCTCTGACCTCTGCTGCCCAGGCCCTCCAGGCTGAGCAGAAGCGCGCCCCCGAGTTCATTGGCTCCGAAGTCAGACTCCGTGACGACACCCTCCCTTCTGCCCACATTGCCCTTGCCGTCGAGGGTGTGAGCTGGAAGGACGATGACTATTTCACCGGTCTGGTTGCTCAGGCCATCATTGGCAACTGGGACCGTGCCATGGGTAACTCTCCCTACCTCGGCAGCAAGCTCAGCTCTCTGGTCAACTACCAGGGCCTTGCCAACAGCTTCATGAGTTTCTCCACTAGCTACAGCGACACTGGGTAAGTTCTCTTGACATATCATTCGAAGCAGCGACTGATTGAACCCGTGCAGTCTCTGGGGTATCTACCTTGTTTCCGACAACCTGACCCGTCTCGACGACCTCATTCACTTCACTCTCCGTGAGTGGACCCGTCTGTGCTTCAACGTCAACGCCGCCGAGGTTGAGCGTGCCAAGGCTCAGCTCAAGGCCTCTATGCTCCTCTCTCTTGACGGCACCACTGCCGTTGCTGAGGACATTGGTCGCCAGATCATCACCACTGGTCGCCGTTTCTCGCCCGAGGACATTGAGCGTACAATCGGTCAGATCACCGAGAAGGACGTCATGGAGTTCGCCAACCGCAGGCTCTGGGACCAGGATGTCGCCATGAGTGCCGTCGGCAGCGTTGAGGGTATCCTTGACTACCAGAGAATCCGCAACGACATGACCCGGATGACCCTGTAAAAATGCCTCTACGCTAACAACAGTGTTTTCCCCAAGATGTTTTATGGCCACCACTGTCTTGTCTTCATTTCCTTTTGTTATGTTGGTGATTAATAGATAGAAGGGGATGTGATAGTCGCAGCGGAAGCAGCGTTGTCTTGTATGTACAGTATAAACTGTTCCACTGATATCTTAAAAATACGTTTTTTTTTTGTTCTTATTTTGTATCAACATCAAGTAACAGCCTCCAACACTGCTTCTCAACTCAAACAAGATTCAATTAAGAACTGATGAAACCCCAATCGCTTATCTAATCAATACCGGTCCGGTGTTGTTCCGGTGGACGATTTTTGGAGCTTCGAGACGAGTTGCGAGTGAGAAAGCGTGATATCCCCAATACTCAATATCATTCACAATGGGCAAGCGCGGCGGTAAGAAGGTAAGAGCTGACTCAATTCATCTATATGCATTTATATTTGAACCATCCGCTAACACACTTCCCCTCGTTGCAGTCTGGCAGAGGCGGCGGTAACAGAGGCGGCGGGCGTGCGCCGCGCCAGAATTATCAGGACATCCCGAAGCAAAACGAGAAGCTCGAGCGCTACTACAATGAGCTTGGGGCCATTCCCGAAGAAGAGAAGGAGGCATTCTGGGAGGCACTACGCAGAGATTTGCCGAACAGCTTCCGGTTTACGGGGTCACGAGGGTACGTCATGTGCAGAATCAGTTTGCGATTTGATAGTTGATTGATAGCTGACTGGTGTCGCATTTCTAAAGGCATGCGCTTGCTGTACAAGAACGCCTCAGGGACCATTACATCCCGGAGATCACTTCCATTCAGTACGAGGGTAACCATGTCGAGCCGCCGACCCCAGTTCCCTGGTACCCGGACCAGCTTGCCTGGTCGATGACCACGCCTAAGAACGTCGTCCGTCGTTTTGCGCCGTTCGCCTCGTTCCAGAAGTTCCTTGTCGCAGAGACGGAGGTCGGGAATATCAGCCGACAGGAGGTGGTCAGCATGATTCCTCCGCTCTTGATTGATGTCAAGCCTGGTATGACGGTGCTGGACATGTGCGCTGCGCCGGGTAGCAAGTCTGCGCAGCTGATGGAATTGCTCCATGCGGGCGAGGAGGACACCATGTTGCAGGCTGCTAAGGAGATTGAGAACGGAACTGCGGGACCGGATGGCATTGGGCCTGATGGCTTGAATGATGACGGCAGAACTACGGGTCTGCTTGTCGCAAACGACAGTGACTACAAGCGTGCGCACATGTTGATTCACCAGATGAAGCGATTGAATTCGCCGAACCTGATCGTCACGAACCACGATGCTACGATGTACCCCTCTATCAAACTTCCTCCCTTGCCAGGCACCGACGGAAAGCCTTCGAAGAACCGATACTTGAAGTTTGACCGTATCCTTGCCGATGTGCCTTGCTCTGGTGATGGTACTGCCCGGAAGAACTACAGTGTTTGGAAGGAGTGGAGTCCTCAGAACGCTCTGGGATTGCACGCTACACAGGCCCGGATTCTTGTCCGCGCATTGCAGATGCTGAAGGTCGGTGGACGGGTTGTTTACTCGACGTGCAGTATGAACCCTGTGGAGAACGAGGCTATTATTGCAAGCGCGATTGACCGATGCGGTGGCTCGGCCAACGTCAAGATCGTCGATGTCAGCAACGAACTTGCCGGCCTCAAGCGAGCCCCTGGTCTGAAGACCTGGAAGGTTATGGACCGCGAGGGCCGGATGTGGAACAACTGGCAAGAAGTTGAGGAACAAAGAGAAAAAGAAGGCATCAGCGGACTTGGCCGGATTGCGGTGGGCATGTTCCCTCCTACCGGTAAGAACGCTGATATCCCTCTGGAGAGATGCACTCGTATCTACCCTCACCTGCAAGATACCGGTGGTTTCTTCATCACTGTGTTGGAGAAGCTGTCTGAGATCAAGGCCAAGCCCGAAGACTCTTCGAAGGTGATCCCCAAGGGAACCGTTGCTGCGCTTTCTGAAGAGCTCGACCACAAGAAGAATGGAAGCGGTCAAACCCTGGAGAAGATCGAGGCATTGGACGACCTGGTTGCTCCCGATGCGCAGGCTCAGGAGGAGGCCGCGAAGAATGAAACCGTTGCGCAGGCCTCGCACCAGATCCCGTACTCCGCTACGCTCGAATCGTCAGTCCCAGCGACATCCACCAAGAGGGAGCCAGACGACGAACCTCAGCTCCCCACCAAGCGCGTCAAGGTCGAGGATGGCAGCGAAGTCGTCATGGGCGACCGTCCCGTTCATGCTCCCCCGCCTGCGGCTGGTGCTGAGCTTGAGAAGACTGTTCCCACCGAAGCAGCTCAACCCACCGTGCCCGCTGAATCCCAGGCGCAACCTCCGCCCAAGAAGAAGCCGGGTCAACCCTTCGAAGAGCCCTTCAAATACCTGCCTGCGAACCACGAGGAACTCGACCCGATCTACCGGTTCTACCAGGCTTCTGACCGTTTCCCGCGCGACCGCTTCCTGGTGCGGAATGCCCAGGCGATCCCAACTAGGACGATCTACTACTCCAGTGCATTGGCACGAGACATTCTGACTCAGAATGAAGGCCAGGGTATCAAGTTCGTGCATTGCGGTGTCAAGATGTTCGTCAAGCAGGATGCGCAGCGCAATGAAGTCTGCCGCTGGCGTATTCAGACTGACGGGTTGAGACTCTTTGAACCGTGGCTCGGACCTGCCCGTAGCGTCACCTTGACCAAGAAGGAGACACTTCGGAGACTTTTGGTGGAGATGTTCCCTAAGGTCGATGGAGAGGCATGGAAGGAGCTGGGCGAGATTGGTGAGCGTGTTAGGGATATTGACATGGGATGCAGTATCCTGTACATTGAGCCTAATGGCCAGGAAGATGGACTCAAGTATGCTTCCCCTTTTCTCTCTCTCTCTCTCTGATATTAGACGCAAAAGCTAACAGAAACTTTACAGAGAGCGAATGGTCTTCCCCCTCTGGCGTTCCTTGCACTCCGTCAACCTCATGCTTCCCAAGGAAGAGCGTCGCGCAATGCTCCTCCGAGTCTTCGGCCAGGACGTCAGCCTCGTCAACACAACCCAGAAACGCCAGAATGCCGTTGACAGTCCCGCTTCCGCCACGCCCGTAACCGAAGACAACGCAGAGCCTGCTGGCGTCGCTGCTGCTACAGAGGAACAGGCGATTCAGGATGAGAATCTCATCCTGGGCCAGGATCAGCAGGAGCAGATGGAGCAGAGGGAAACATGGACTAAGGCTGGGGATGAGGAGGATCGCTTTAATACGACGGTGTAGTGTAGGGCTTTGCATTTGATATTAGATAGAGGAAAAGTAATTGTTTGTTTGTCATGATTTTTGTATTATGTATGCCACTTTATGAACCTGATCTCTGACGATCAAAAGAGAACCTTCCTCGCAGCATTAATCCCCTTAATATCCCACTTCTTCGGCGCCATCTTCTCCATCCAAGCAGACCAATCCGCACACTTAACAGCAGGCCTCATGATCTGCGCATACTCCAAATAATCCGGATACCAGCCCGCAGTCTCCCAATCGACAATCCCCGTAACAAGACCCTCCTCATCCACCATGATATTGCGAGGTGCAATATCACCATGCGTAAAGACGGAACAATCAGCGCGAGGCAGCATGTCGGGTAGCTGGTCCTTATAGAGACGCCCCCCGAAGTATAGATAGCGCTGATAGATGCGGTCTCGTATGTCTGAATCACTCATTAGCGGTTGCGGTGAGCCGGGGTCCAAATCTTCAAGCAATGGACTTCTCGTTGGAGAGCCATCGACCATGCATTGGAAAGAACCATCGACTAGTTCCGGTGGGCGAGGGATATCCCGTATCTGCGAGATCATGGTCCAGAGTTGACGGCACACGGACTCTTTGGTATCCTTGTTCATCTCATCCCACCTCTTCTCTAGAGATGATCCGGGCATAAGAGTTATATCGATAATTCCATTACTAAGGCCGATCTTGGTGGTGATGACTTTTGGCGAAGGAATCGATGTATGCGTAGACACTAGGTCCATTGCTTCCACCTCGTTGCGCTCCACTGCGAACCCGGATTTGATGGCAAATGCAGAATCGTAGTCAAGAACTATTTTGCCCGTTTGTTTTCTGAGAATGGTGATTATATCTTGATTGATGGGGAGGTTGTCATGATTCGTGGATGGAGGATATGGAAATATTGTCTTCCCGTCTTTTATGTACCGCTGACCTTCTTCGAGATGGTGCGGATGGAAAGGGGGGACTGGTTCCTCTTGCTGATGATCTGGGCGATGACTTCCACACATCTCTCGCACTTGAAGTTTGGAGATTATCAGTCGTCTGGATCGAGGGTTGGTAGAAAAGTACCCGAAGTCGTCATGCTCTCCATACCAGACTGTCAGCCAGTAGCGGTCCTACAATTTGAACCGTATTGGAGCGTTCGTTTTTGAAAGTCATCCGATCAGTCGAGGCTGCATGGCATTGATCCCCCTCCAACCCCATCTCGGTAAGTCACTTTCTGTCAATGTTGACCAACCCAGAAAGAAGCTGATGACACTTGCACTACAGCGCAACTAGTAATGTATATGCGTGTCAAAATGCTTGAGTTCGGTGTTTTATCTATGTACCAGAGCACTGTCTTTGTGCGAAGAGTGGACGCATATCGGCTTGAAATGTCTTTGCCCATTGAAGCATGTGCAACAAACCCAATGCTCAGACAGTGTCTTTTGGCGCTAGCTTCGTTCGCTTCAGAGGATTTTGAACCCATCGAGCCCTTATTGGTCTGATGAAGATCAAGTAAGTTGTTTTGTATAGAAAGGTATAAACATGGTAACCGCATATAACTGAGGATCCCAACGCAGCCATATGCGCAAGCCTACTCCCGCGCTTCCCCGCCACGAAACCAAGTAGCAGCCAAAGAGACAATAGTAGACGAGGAGATTGGCTCGCAGACGATCATGTTCGGCGGCGATGACGGTGTTGCTCGAAGCTGGGTGAACTGCAAGCGGCTGATTCGAGAATCCGAAGAAAAGGCTATCTTCAAGGTTACTTGGGACTGCGGACAGCACAATGTCCTATACGATCCGAGAACGCGTTCGGTTACTATGGTTGACTTCGAACTTATGCAGGCTTGCGAACATGACACTATGAGCCCGGACTTGCCGGAGATGTATGCTATATTCAGAGACGCAACTCTTCAAAGTGCCTAGCAATATTTAAGCCAAGGGTATTCCAAATGAAATGTGTTTTTGCTCATATTATGGCTCGATACTTGCATTGTCCCAATGCGGGGTATATAGATGACGATCTGGGTAATCTTCGGCATTTCCCGTCGTTTCCCCACGGGCATTCCCTTGTCCCTGCACAAAGGGTCTTACTACATAGTTATTACTTTCACCAGTACTAATCCTGCTGCTTTTATCCGCTTATTATCCGAGCTCCACTTCTCCTCTTCCTACCGGGGGAAATGACACTGAATGCGGGGGAAATAACTCATTAGGGCTTTATAAAGCCCGGAGCTGCTCCTCGAGCTTTGCGGGCTCCAGTGCTGAGTGCAGGTCGAACTGAGACGTCATGAAGCTTCTCACACTCTGTGCAGTGGCATCGCTGGCTACGCAGGCAGTTGGTGCGGCCATTAAGCACAAGCTTAATGGCTTTACTATTACGGAGCATCCAGATCCGGTGAAGCGGGATTTGTTGCAGAAATATGTATGTCTCCTTGTTTTACTACTAGTGAAATACGCTGACGGATATTGGTAGGTGACTTGGGATGATAAGTCCCTCTCTATTAATGGAGAGAGGATCATGATTTTCAGTGGTGAATTCCATCCGTACAGGTGCGTCAACCACCGAGAGAAAATAAATCGAATCTAATGTGTATATGGCAGACTTCCGGTCCCGTCTCTGTGGCTCGATGTCCTCCAAAAGGTCAAAGCGCTGGGATTCAACTGCATCTCATTCTACACGGACTGGGCTCTGCTTGAAGGAAAGCCTGGTGATTACCGGGCCGAGGGAATCTTCGCTCTGGAGCCCTTCTTCGAAGCAGCAAAGGAGGCTGGTATTTACCTGCTTGCTCGTCCCGGTCCCTATGTCAACGCCGAGAGCTCTGGTGGTGGTTTCCCCGGTTGGTTGCAAAGGGTCAACGGCACCCTTCGCACGGCGGATAGGGGGTTTTTGGATGCGACTGACAAGTATGCGATGCTTCCCCATAATGGGATAATCACAATTTTTGCTGACACAATTTGATAGCTACATCGCCACAATCGGTGCTTCCATTGCCAAAGCGCAAATCACGAATGGTGGACCAGTCATCCTCTACCAACCAGAAAACGAATACACAAATGGCTGCTGCGGTGAAGAGTTCCCTGATCCCGATTACTTCCAATATGTGATTGACCAGGCCCGTGACGCTGGAATTGTTGTGCCTATGATCAGCAATGACGCCTCGCCCGACGGACATAATGCACCAAGCACGGGTAAAGGAGCGGCTGATATCTACGGTCATGACAGTTATCCGCTTGGATTCGATTGCGCAAACCCGTCTGTATGGCCAGAAGACAACCTGCCAACCAACTTCTGGACTCTGCACGAGGAGCAAAGCCCAACGACTCCGTACTCTCTGGTCGAGTTCCAAGCTGGAGCTTACGATCCCTGGGGAGGACCGGGATTTGCTGCGTGCGCAGACCTAGTCAACCACGAGTTTGAGAGAGTGTTCTATAAGAACAACTTCAGCTTCCGGGTCGCCATATCTAACCTCTACATGATATTTGGCGGTACCAACTGGGGTAACCTTGGTCACCCTGGTGGATATACATCCTACGATTATGGCTCAGTGCTGAGTGAGACCCGCAACATTACTCGCGAAAAGTACAGCGAGCTCAAGCTCTTCGGCAACTTTGTTAAGGTCTCCCCGTCATATCTACTGGCTGATCCTGGTAATCAGACAACGGGCTACACGGACACTTCTAGCTTGACTGTCACTCCTCTGAAAGCAGATGGGTCGACCTCGTACTACGTGGTCCGACATACAGACTACAGTAGCCAGGCGTCAACTCCGTATAAGCTCAGACTTGCGATTAGCTCTGGAAATGTGACGGTTCCCCAGCTGGGAGGAGAGTTGTCGCTGAATGGACGGGACTCCAAGGTTCATGTTGCTGATTACGATGTGTCTGGGACTAACATCGTGTACTCGACCGCGGAGATTTTCACTTGGAAGAAATTCGCAGACAGCAAGGTTCTTGTTCTGTACGGCGGCCCTGGAGAGCACCACGAGCTGGCTATTGCGTCCAAGTCCGAGGCATCTGTTATTGAGGGATCTCAGTCAGATATCAAATCGAAGCGGATTGGTAGCAGTGTGGTCATCTCTTGGGATGTCTCATCCACTCGTCGCATCGTGCAAGTTGACAATCTGAAGATCTTCCTCCTTGGTAAGATTTACTTCAAAAGACCACAGAGGATACGAAACTGACATTACCAGATCGGAACACTGCCTACAACTACTGGGTCCCTGAGCTTCCAGCTGAAGGAACCACGCCAGGATACAGTAACAAGAAGAACACTGCTTCGTCGATCATCGTTAAAGCCGGATACCTCGTGCGAACAGCTTACCTCAAGGACAGTGATCTCCACCTCACCGCAGACTTCAACACAACAACACCCATCGAAGTGATCGGGGCCCCAGAAAATGCCCAGACCCTCTACATCAACAACGAAAAGGTTTCGCACAAGGTAGACAAGAACGGAATCTGGACCTCAGAGGTCGAGTTCACGGCTCCGAAGATTGACCTTCCCAGCCTGGAGGACCTCGAGTGGAAGTATCTGGACACACTTCCAGAGATCCAGTCTTCGTACGATGACTCTGCATGGTCAAAGGCAGACAAGCCTACTACGGATAATGACCATCGTCCCCTGGACACGCCAACATCGCTTTACTCTTCCGACTATGGTTTCCACACGGGCTACCTGGTTTACCGGGGTTCGTTTATCGCGCAGGGAAATGAGTCTACCTTTTTCATCCACACGCAGGGCGGACAAGCCTTTGGAAGCTCCGTGTGGCTTAACCAAACACTCTTGGGATCATGGACAGGATTGAACCAAGACTCAGACAATAACTCGACCTACAAACTGCCTAGTCTCCAGCAAGGCAAGAACTACGTGTTCACCGTTGTTGTCGACAACATGGGACTCGACGAGAACCTCGACGTTGGTGCTGATGTCATGAAGAACCCTCGTGGAATCCTGAACTATAGCGTATCTGGAAGAAGCCTGGACGCAATCAAATGGAAGCTAACCGGCAACCTGGGTGGTGAGGATTACCAGGACAAGGTGCGAGGACCTCTCAACGAGGGTGGTATATACGCAGAGCGATACGGCTTCCACCAACCGGAGCCCCCAAGCGCAGACTGGAAATCCTCCAGTCCCCTTGATGGTCTCTCTCAACCTGGAATCGGCTTCTACAGCACCAACTTCGACCTCTCCATCCCCAGCGGATATGACGTGCCAATCTACTTCAATTTCGGCAACACCACAGACCCAGCGCCATTTAGAGCACAGCTCTACGTAAACGGCTACCAGTACGGTAAATACATCAGCAACATCGGTCCGCAGACTAGCTTCCCGGTTCCAGAGGGTATTCTGAATCACCGTGGAACGAACTGGGTCGCGGTAAGTCTTTGGGCGCTGGGAGAGGAAGGGGCGAAATTGAGTAGTTTTGAGTTTTCGCATGAGAGACCGGTGAGGACGGGATTGAAGGAGGTGGAAGCGGCTGAGCAGCCGAAGTACGAGGCGAGGGAAGGGGTGTACTGATGATGTTCCGGTGTAGTATGGGATGTATATAGCAATAGCTTGGTGGCTTTTGAGAAAATGAGCATTTATGAACATGACATATTTTCCGACAGAAAGGAATAGTCATTAAAATAATATTATCGAAAATACGGAGTAAGAAGCATATGAAAAATAATAATGGCGTCGTTGTTGTTACTATCCCGAGCCAACTCAATCGGAGGATCATCCCCAGCCACCGCATTATCATCCCCGTCTAACCCGTCCCCATCGCTGGCCCCGTCACCTTTTCCACACTTTTCTTGTCCTGTGCTCCGATTCTTCTCTTGACGCTACTCTATCACGCTCCGACTTTTGACATCTTGCATTGGTGTCCTCGTGCCTGAACGCTTCGACGCTGGAACTGCTCACCACCCTCGGCAAATAGGGCTATGCTGCTATCAGCAAGTCCCTAACATCTGCGACGCATTCTTTCATCTGATCTCATCTTGTTGAACCGATCGAGGGATAGCGGTAAAGAATGGATTCGATATCATCATCGTCGTCAACCTCACCACCGCTCCCATCCTCCTCTAAATCAATAACAACACCCCTCCTCATCCTCCGCCGCTTCCTCTCCGAAACAACCAACAACAACTCTACCATCCCCAACGCCAACAATGACAATTCCACCGTCCATGCCCTCAACCGCCGCTACCAAACCGTCTCCCTCCCCGCAACCGCCTACGGCCGCCTAGACACCTCACCAGCCCCAGGCACAGTAGCGGGTATTATCCTCGGTACCGTCGCCGGCTTCCTCCTTCTCCTATACCTGCTATACGCAACATTCATCCCCAAGAAACCAATCGACGATGCTGCCACAGTCGAAGTTGAGGAAGTAAGACGTCCGCGGCCACGTCCGCGTCGCGGGTGGAACGGCTGGGGTCGTGGCGGCCGCAGCGGCGGTGGTAGTCGCTACGGCGGTAGCGAGGAAGGAGGCGGGGACTTTGTCGACGTGTTCGAGGAAGAGAGCGTTGAGAGTCCGCGCAGAGAACCTGTTAGGGATACTGGGAGGGAGAGAGACAGGGGTGCGGGAAGGAGTTGGTGGGGATGGGGTAGGGGTCGGCAGGCGGATGATCGGTCGACGGATGATGGGGGGACGGTTGAGGTTATGGAGGAAGGGGATGGGTATTATGCGCCTCCGCCTCCGCCTATGCCGCCTCCTGCGCCAATGCAGAGGGAGAGGAGGAAGAAGAGGAAGTCGAGGAGGGCGAGGAGGACGGATGATCCGTATGAACGGGGGAGTGAGGATTGGGGTGCTGCTGGGGGGAGTGTTGATTAGGCTTCTACGCGGTAGGCTTGTTTGCTGGGTTGCTGGTAATGATTGCTTAATGTGTGATGTTTGATGGGTAACAGTACTGCTTACGTGTTTGTTGATTTGATTTTTGATACCCTTTTAATTCACTTACATACCACTTGTTGATGTTTCTTGATCCATAAGAATGCTTGAATTGAGGTCCATGCCTGATCGCTGTAAAAGTACTCGTCATTCAATAACCCTTGAAACAACCAAAGACGATAACAAATTAGAATAATAATAAAACCAAGCAAAGTAATCCCAACCTTTCATCCGTATACGCCGTTCAAAACCGAGAACCGAAGGAAACCGAACCCATCCTCCCCCAAGCAACAGAAAGACCCGTAAGACCACCGAATTATCCTAGAAAATCAAGTCCAAACAACAGCAGCATGCCAGCGCCGCCATTATACCCGCGCAAATACCACCCCCAGTTGACCCTCCGCGATCCTGCTGACCCTGATAGTACCCCGGCTGCGGTTGCGCTTGCGGATATCCCTGCGGCGGATAGTACATCGGCTGGCCTGGGGGCGGCGGCGATCCGTAGCCATAGTTTTGAGGAGGAGGAGATCCGTAGTTTTGTTGGGGTGGGTAGCCGCCTTGGCCGCCTTGGTTGTAGTAGTCGTTGGCTGCGCCGCCGGATTGTTGCTGTGGGTAGGGGCCGGCGTCGTGGACGGGTGCCGGGTAGGAAGGAGGAGGGTAGTCCTGGATTGTTGTTGTTAGTAGGATATTTTGAGAAGGGAAGGAGGGTCAGTAGACGTACTGGTTTGTTGTAGGACATGGTGGTAGAAGTTGCGATGGAAGAAATGTAGTTGCCTTTCGTGACACTGTAGTCCGGCAGTCGTATAGTTTGCGAATGTGCTATCAGACAGAGGCTAACGCTGCTAAAATTGTGTATACGACAGCAGAGCGCGGTAAATGACAGTAAGAAGTAAAGTCAGAATAAAAGAAGAAACAGTGCAGAAGGAAAGGGAGAGAAAGAAGAGCGGAAGAGAGAGCCAAGGACAGTTGAAGGCGACGGCGGAGATTCCGGAATAGGAAGTCTTGGCGTCTGTCAGTCAAAATAGCCTCCGATTTCGTACCTGCCTCATGCCCTATAGGAAACATAGAGATTTGATCACAACATAGCAGACTTTGTAGCAATTTTTGCATCGTCTTCATGACAAACCCCAAGGCGTCGGGCGACAGATGTATACAGGAGTACTGAACCTAACCTACGCCGTAAGAGTATATCACCCTACGATATCTAGCAAATTAGCAAGCAAGTTACGAGATGTTCGAGATGTTCTCTTGCATCAGTTCCATCGGCCAAGGCCAAGCTCAATTAGGAACTCAGAAACTGATGCCTTCGATCCTCGGATGGACACCTGCAAGCGCAAACATCGCCCTATGCCAAACAAAGTCGACAAAGGGACAAATGAATACCCATACAGGGCCTAAGATTTGCTCTCCCAACGCTCCGTTAAGAGCACCTTGTCGAATGAGAACGGGGAGCCGTCCTCACAAGATGCTCCTGCAGTACCCAGAGTGGACTGCATCGCTGGTGAATGTTGAACATTGATAAAAGAAACTGCCCAAATCACAGGAACAAAATGCCATCAATTCCGAAGGCTAAGCATGTAAGCATTGCACAGTAGCAAATCAATCATATACAGGAAAGTAGGGCCAAAAAAGAAGAAAGAAGGGAAATGGGTATATCAGATACAACCAACTCCCAGTGGTAGACAGCATCTATGCAAGCTAGGGCAGACTCTGAAAGGGAGAAGAAGAAGGAATCTGGGTAATAAATGCAAGAGAGGAAAGTGTCGTATAAAGATTATGCTCGTGCAAAAGGACCAAGATCAGCAAAGAAATGATACAAATGCTGTGCTTTTTTTCTTTTTCGAAAAGACCATTCCAGACAAGCCCAGAAGGCTTGTCCCAGCAATGCCAACCATCATACAAGTGCACATGTAGATGGGCTTTTATATACCAAGCTGCTTCCTCTAGGCCTTGTCTTCAAGCGAGGCCTTCTGCAAATCCTCGGCAGCGTCAGCAGCGGCGTCCTTCTCCTGGTCCACCTCGGCTTCAGCCGAAGCGTTGCCGTTGACACCGCTGTGCTGCTGGGCAGGCTTCTTAGCATCGTCGGTAGTACGCTGATCGGCCTGGGAAGTTTCATTTTCCAGTTTGGCAATCTCTTCCTTGGCCTTGGCAATGTTCTATTCAGGAATCAGCATCTTGACTTAAGAAGAAGACCAATATCAAAAATACTTACGTCTTCCGTCTTGCTGGCCTGGTTCTTCTTCCACTCGGTGATCTTCTCAGCAAGCTTCTCAGCCACCGCAGGAACATCGGACTGGTTCATAGGCGGGTCGACCTTGATCTTGGCGAATTCCTCAATGATACCGACGTTCATGTTGAACTTGTTCTCCGCAGAAGCGCCAGAAGCAGCATTGGCATTGCCACCCTTCTTGCCCTTCTTACCCTTCTTACCGCCGGTGCCAGCAAAGTAGTCGTCCCCGCGGTCCTCCTTCTTGAGGATCTTGACACCCTTGATGTCGGAGTCATCCACAGTACGGCCAACCCCCGCACGGAAGTTGGAACCCTGGTCCTTCTTGTCGTCAAGTCCCAGTGCGGCAAAGTCGTAAGATGGGTTGAAGTGACGGATGAGACCCTGGGCAGTGAAGATCTCGTCGCTGTAGGCAGGCTGCGAGGCCTCCTCCAGCTTCTTATCTGCGACCTTCCTCTTCTTCTCGTGCTCGATGGCATCGCGTTGAGCCTTAGCCTTTTCGCGTCGGACTTTCCAGGCCTCATCCTCGTACTCCTTGTACGCCCTGCGTCCCTGGTAGTACTGGTCTTTGATTGCCTTGATCGCGGACCACTTCTCCCGCTGCTCGCCTTGCAGCTTGGTGCGCTCATCCCTCAGAGAGTTAAGGTTCTTGAATACGCTGTCCTTCTCGGCCTTGATGGCATCCAGCTCCTTCTGAATCTCCGTGTATCTCTCGCTGAGAGCCTTGGCCTCGGGGGTGTCGAGCGTCTTCCGGAGGGCGGCAATCTGGGCCTTCAGGTCGTCAATGACCTTCTGGCCCTCGTTCAAGCCGGCGAAGTTCTTGCGCTGCTTACGCATGGTCGAGACGTCCGAGAGGGCCTTCTTTTCATCAACCAAGCGCATTGTACCTGAATCGACCTGCTTCTCCAGACGAGCAATCTCCCGGTCGATCTCCTCGACATTCTTGAACGACATGCGACTGCGGGAGTTGTTCTGCTCGGCCAGGCGGGCCTTGAGGGTCGAGTCAAGGCCATTGATCTTCTCCTGGGTGCTGGATCTCGAGGCCTTGAATCCTTGCTGCTTCTGGCGGATCGACGAAAGCTCAGATTGGAGCTCCTGTTGTCTCTTGGCCGTGGGGGAGTCCTGGTTGTTGGGCTTTGCGGTCTCAATCTTTGCCTTGATTTGGTTCTTTAGACGGATTAGTATCAGGCTGCAGATTATGATAGATAAAATGATAAGCCACCAATAACGATCTTCCTCTTCCCCAACGGACAAACAAAGAAAGGCAAAGAAAAAAGTGTCCAATGGTGATCAAACAAACGCAACCTCACTGATCTAGTAAGACACACATACCAGCTTCTCTTGAACAGCAGAGTGTTCCTTCTCAGCTGCAGCCAAGCTACTCTTGAATTCCCCCTCATCCGGCTTGGAAGGCTTGACCTTGTGGTTGACTGCAGGAGCCGAGTTGGCAGCAACAGCAGCCATCTTGTCAGCGAATGAAAGTATATAACACTCGAAAACAGGAAGAATTGGCCTAAGTTCAATCTTCTAGGATTGAATTAAAAAGCGAGCAGACGAGCGACAGATAAAATGGCCAGTTGGACCCGGAGCTAATTTGTGTTTTTGGGGTGAATAATAGTCTGGTCTTTTGGGGCGGCGCTTATCGTTGGCGCTCTTAGCGCTGGTCCGCCGATTTTTCGAGAACTTCTTTTTCCTCTTCTCACTCAACCGCCATTGCAGCCATTTCTTGCCTGTCAGCGCAGCCCAGCACAGCTTCTAATTCCTTTATCTAGCTGCGCCGTTGAATTTTTGCTCTTCTCTTTCTCTCGCAACTTTTATTTTTAAGAAGCGCCTGGTTGCGCCCCTTGAATTTAGTCATGGATGAGGACTACTCGACTGGCTCCGCGGATGCCGACCGCGAGATGACCAGACTTTGGCGTACATGGAGGACAGTTTTCGAGATGCTGCAGGACCGGGTATGCGATTCAGAGTTCTCGCTTTGAAAGGGGACCATGAGTGTCGCTAACAAGTGTGTTCAACAGGGTTACGAAGTCACCGAAGAAGAAGTTCAAATCCCTCTCCACGAGTTCAAATCCAAATATTCCGACCCTCTAGGATATCCTGAGTATGCGAATATCCCCTTTTATTCGCGATATTATCTGGTCCAAGCTTTCTAACGCAATGCCGTTGCGTTTACAGTCGCAACAAGATGAAAGTCAGCGCTCGTCCCACCGAAGCGATGCAAGCCAAATACACACCGCTACCTAGCAAATCGAACCCCGACCCTCAACCCGACTGCGGAACTGTCTACGTTGAATTTTGCCCCGACGCCTCTGGTGTGGGTACCAAGCAGGTCCGCGCATTCAACCACTTTGTCGACGAAAACAATTTCCACACTGGAGTTTTCATCACTCAGACCCCGATCTCCCCCTCCGCCGTGCGCCTGCTGAGCGGTATCCCCGGCCGTATTTGCGAACACTTCCAGGAGCAAGATTTGCTCGTTAACATTACGCGCCACGAACTCGTTCCGAAGCACGTTTTGCTGAGCCCCGAGGAGAAGGCCAAATTGCTGGAACGGTACCGTTTGAAGGAATCGCAGTTGCCGCGTATGCAGGTTTCGGACCCTGTGGCGCGATACCTCGGTTTGCGACGGGGTCAAGTCGTCAAGATTATTCGGAAGAGTGAAACGGCAGGACGGTACGCTAGTTACCGCTGGGTCATTTAAGCTATGGGCTGCTCGACATGGACTTTGGACATTGTTAGTATGGACCTTTTCCTGCAACAAACGTCAAGATTGGCAAACGGCAAATTCTGCCCTACGATGCCAGATGGAACGTCACCTCCGCACTGCATCCCCATTGCTGCTAGGGCAGAAATCAGCGTCGAGAGGAACAAAAGGCCAGAGAAACAGGGAACAGGAGGAAAATTCAAGAAAAAAGCTATACTTTTGTACGTATTATGGGGAGCACGGCGTACGGGCGAAACAGAAACATTCATGGTTGGGATGCTCTGTCATTTTTTATATCACATGTCATGTTCTTAATCATTTGCTGTAAATTCCTGACAAAATTTCACTTATTATCTCGTCTAACATATATTGCCTGCCAAGCTATTGGATTATGGGAAGACACGGACACGGCCAGAGGGTTTGAAAGCTGGAGAGATTTTTCAGAATCCTTCAAGAGAGCAGCTTATTCAATATTTTGAATCGTCACACCATGAGCACCACGGCCTGGAGACATAAAAAGACACGCAACCGTTGATGGCTGGGATTGACCTACTCGTTATCCGCTTGTTTCTGAGATATGTACGGAGTGCGTTGATCGCGTTGCCCGACACCAGAAAGCAAATAATCGCGATAGGCCCGCAATGCCTCACAACGTTCCGCCGGCTATCTGGGTTATATGCGGGTGATCTCCAGACGATCAGACGCTGGTTCGCGCGAAACACGGGGCTATGGATGGCTCCCGTGAAAAACGCGTTGACCAATCTTGGCGAGATCCATGTATAGAGATCGAACATCGTGATCTTGGTAGGTCAAGCAAACGGTCTACCATGTGCGCAACTTCCTGTCCCAACACGACGGGGATGTAGGCTCCGTCTCTCCAGTCGGGTAATAGATACCCACTAAATCCCTTTGCTTGGCCTGAGAGAATCGATGATGAGTTTCAAATTTCTCGATGGTAATACAACAGAAGTTCAAGACACTTACCTCTAGTGAGACCATATGTCGGGCTTCGACAGAACCAGGCTATCGTTGACGGTTTCACGAGGTTTCGACAATTCTTTGTTCGTTCCGAGCCAAAGCTTTGTTGGTCCGGGTCGAGTTACTAGTTGATAGCAACTTGCCGGTCAAGTTTGTAGTGAACCTTCAAGGATTGGCAACAACCTGTCAACTCGTAAGGGCCATGTCTTCACGACCAAACACTAGTTTCTTCAAGTATCGGACTGTTCACCTGACGCAGACGTGAGCTTATGGAAAACTAGTTGACAAGCCACAACTGTGAATGGTGAACAGCCATTCGTCGCAGTCCAAAATTCTAGCTTTCTGTGCCTTCTCTTAAAGCCAGTCGACAGGAGAAGTCCGCGAAGAGGCCATACCATTTTCGTCGAGGCCCTCTGAAGGTCTGGCAATTGATTTCCCCAGGTATGGCTCGCCGCGCTTTTACGCCATGATATTCCCTTGATAGGGTCAATATACTCGAACATTTTCCTTGATGAGCCGTCATCCTCCATTGATTTTGACCATGTTTTAATGCGAGATTCCACCTGATACTCCTTGCTGTCCTTCATGATAATCATATTCATCTGCCTAGCGTCCCTCACTGTGTAATGGATTCGATGCCCGAGCTTTCCCTTAATCATGCGCTTTGATTCATCGACTCTTAACTCCGCTATAATGAGAGCGGCGTGATCGAATCCTAATCCTTGTTGGACGGTGTGCAGGCCTGGGGCCGACTCATGATGGTTGTCCGTACATGGCCATTTCTTCGTTGGCGACGATGCCGGAATGAAAACTCCCTGTTTCCTAGGGAAAGCAGCGTGCTGTGTACATAATTATTGAGGCCCATCTCATGACGGGATGAAGGTCCAAGGTCTGGATGTGTGCGACTTCTTGTCCCAGTATATGGGGATATAGGGCCCTAGTTGGCCACTTGGACGGTAGACCTGCTAGGTTCCACTTTTTAGCCTAGGAGAAGCAATCGTAAGCATCGATATTGGAATAGATTTAATAAATTCCAAGGACTTACTTCAAATGAGACCACAGGTATTTTTCTTGGTTGAGGTTATGTCTCGTACCATTTTCAGATACATAGAACAAGGCTACCGTCGCTCATGGATTCGCTGGCTTCTGATAGCTTTGTGGGCAAGTATACTTTATACAAAAGGCCTAGTTAGCTCTGTTCTTCCAGTTAGATATTGCATAAGCCATGTGCCTGAAGTAATCGCAGAATGGGTTTGTGGATTTCCATCTCTAACACATATTTGCAATAACTTGAGCAATTTCCTTTCGGAGTTGGGCGATACTCTGGATCGTATTTCTGGGATACTTTGAGGATGTACTATAGATGACATTGAAAGGATAGCTGGGAAGCTAGCTGATGTGAGGATACTGCCCTCTTCATTTCTATTCCCAGGGAGTGAATTTACCCACAGTGAATCGCGAGGACTAGACCTTCAGGGAACCTCCCCTTATCTCCATGCTGGGATAAGAGCAAGACGTCCACAGCCCCGGCGAAAGTCAATCATGTATGACATCCATCTCAATGCCCACCTGCGCGCACTGTGTCCGCACATCTGCCCGTTTCTCCCCCACAAATCCACATCCATAATGTGACATATCCGAATGAAAATGCGCTTTAAATGCGGCGTAAGGGACTACGTCAACCAAGAAATTCCGGACAAGTTTGAGTAGTTTGAGCTCGTTTACCCAGGTATAGGGGTTTAATAAATCCCATACAAGACATAGCTCTTCCAGTGTATCTGGAAGGACGTCTCCGATTTCAGTTGCGGCATGTGGGTCCATTCACAGGAGGAGGGTAACGGGAACTTCCATGGAGCGCAATCGGGGAAAGCCCAATGTTTTCAGGAACCCTTTAAAGGGCTCTCTTAATTTGTAATCATCCTTAGAATTGAGGGTGCGGTCTTTAGAATACGGGTAGTGCTTTAACCATAGTGATAGCTTCTCGACTTTGTTGCTGGTAGATTCCAAAGATTGGAGGATAGCTGGTCCGTTTTCAGCGCTTTTTCATTACCCCGTTTGTAGGCTATACCCCAATGGAATGTTTTTAGAGCGGTTGTCCGAGACAGTAGGGAAGGAAATTCTATTTCATTGACGGTTATTTGGGGGAGAATGAGTGTATGCAGTTGATGCAGGTTGGACTGTCGCGTTGAGCCCTTTGCATCTCCCACACCAATTATACCATCCATGCTCCTTAACCAGATACATAAGGACTCTAGGTATGGGAGATAGAACCACGGCATGAATTGTTGTGAATGCCAATCAGGGTAGCCATCGTCCCCAATTGCCTGGATCTCCTCCTGTATGCGAGCATTACCACCGTAGTCCACCGTCTTGAGAGAGTTGAATGTTAAAAGAACTCCTTCAGGGGCTGTAAACAAGGGATGTCTCAGCATAATACCTGGATATCCTCGTGCTGAGATAAATGAACAATCAAGCTGTGTGGACTTGAGCTTATGAAGCTGTGAAAGAAGCATTGTAGTAAAAACATAAGGGTCCCCAAGCTGGATCTTTTGAATCCAATGAGCTTCATTGGGGAATCTAACTCTTGTAACTATGGCTTGAGCTTGCTCAATGACATTAGTATAGCTCGCAGACTCTTTCTTCCAGTTCATAAAGCGCCACAGACGTTCCCAATGTACGCTCTACATTCGGTCCGTAGAGCTTAGAACCCTCACATGGTGGATAGATGGTGTTATGTCTGGGCGCTTGAAAATAGACCGCAATAGCCGTAGAATATTCTGCATGAGCACTGTGTTCCAGTTCCAGGATACGGTGCGGTACATGAAGGGCGTAGTGGAGGCATGGAAGTCTTTGGAGACTAACGCAACCGAGGCGAAATCCTCATGTGAGAGATAATCCGAGACATTCATCCAGCAATCGATGGGCAACAGTTGCAACAAGCTTGTGCCGTAACTAGACTGCGACACGATCCGCAAAATATCCAAATTATACATATCCAAATCCGCAAATCTGCGGATTTGGATAGCATTTGACATCCTCATATCCGTGCGGATATGTAAACAGTGCAAAATTGACGAATCTGTATCTACATAATTTATGCTATCCTTAGCGGTAATAGATGGTATTGTAGTTGTAAGAAAGTCTTTTGGTTGAATAATTCACATCTATTGATATTGGATCGAAGAAAACTTTTGTCATAACTCAATTTATTGTAATTCTTCTAATAGGAGCTAGTATCTATTGATTTCAAAGCCAGCTGGCATCTTTGGCTGTTTCCAAACCCTTCTTGAACGCGCCTGCGTACTATCCTTTTCATGTGGTATATTAGGTAGAGGATGATCACCATCATCATCATCAAGCTCACGGTCTATCTCATCCCTTGGCTCAGAAGAAATGCTTCTGCGTTGTTTCCCTAGGGCACGCTCACTAGGTGCTGCAGGCTGTAAATCATATAGTATATCATCTTCCTCATTGTCGCTTATTGGTTCCAAATCTTCCTGGGACTGAGAGGGCTTTTTTCCTCCTCAATGCCTGTAATTTCGCCAGCTGAGAGATACTCTTTTATCAAATCTAGTTCCTCTTGTTTAATCTCAAACTTTGATGTGCACATATGCATCATCAGATCCTTGATTGTATCAGGTTTGAGGTTGCCTTGATGATAATGACAGATATCATGAGCAGAGTTAAAGAGACGCTCAACACCAGCACCACTAGCTGGGATAGAAAGAATATCCTGAGTGAGGCTTGATAGTGCTGGAAATTCAAGCTCATACTCTTTCCAGAAGAGTCTTGGGGGAGTATTGTGACGGCTCAACGACCAGGCAAACAGTGCCAACATGCCAAAAGATGCCATACAAGCAATATGGACAAACAAGGGCACAAGCCGCATCGCACAAAGGTTTATATAGACTGTACTCGCCAGATAGATTTCCTCTCCTTTTTTCCTCCCCAGATTCGATATTCTCGTCGATGGCTACACTAGTTTAGATAGGAATATCAATTCGTTAATATCTACTGGTCCGAGCCCGTGACA